GTTATAACTCGAATGATAGTAAGACCGATTACAGAAGTTGGTTAGAATGGCTTCGTCAAATTAAAATTTTTTTTAAAAATAATTCTTTTTCTAATAATAATTCTTCTCAAACTAAAAATAATATTAAAATTTCTCAAAATCTTTCGCCTACTTTTACTAAAATTAATAATGATAATAGACCTTTTGTAACTGTTGACTTATTTGGTCACAGCATTGATGCTTTACTTGATTCGGGAGCTAATGTTTCTATTATTGGTGAATCTTGCCTTAAAAAATTACCTTTTTTATCTAATTTAATTGTTAAAGATGCTAATGTTAATGTAAGTACCGCTGATGGTAACAATCAGACAGTTTTGGGATACCTTGATATTATTATTTCATTGAATGACAATAGTAAGCTTCTTCGGGTTTTAGTAATTCCGTCAATAAAACATTTTTTAATTCTTGGCATAGACTTTTGTAAACTTTTTGAAATTTCAGTTAATTTTATCAATAATTCTTTTACTCATTCTTTAGACACTATTAACATAATTCAAGACGTAAATTCATTAGATTCTGATCAATTAAATAAACTTCAATTATTAACTTCACAATTTAAAACTTTAGATACACCTGAACTAGGAGTGACACCTTTGATTACTGTTGACATTGATACTGGTGATGCTTCACCTATTAAACAAAGATATTACCCACTCTCTCCGGTGATGCAAGAACATATGAATAAAGAGATAGATAAATTGTTGACTTTAGGCGTTATCCAACCTTCAAAATCTCCGTGGAGTAGTCCTATTTTATTAGTGAAGAAAAAGAGCGGTGATTTTCGTGTAGTTTATGACGCTAGGAAATTAAATTCGGTTGTTAAGGGCGATGCATACCCATTACCTTTTATTGCGCATATTTTAAATCAGTTACAACAGTCACGGTTTTTGTCTTCTATTGATTTGCGTAATGCTTTTTGGCAAATTGGGCTAACTAATAGTTCTATGGAAAAAACTGCTTTTACAATTCCTGGCAGAGGCTTGTTTGAATGGACTAGACTTCCACAAGGTTTAAAAATTTCCCCTCAGGTACAACAACGGTTGATGGATTTTGTTTTTGATGAAACTTTGCGACCTTATGTCTTTACTTATTTAGATGATATTATTATTACTACACCTTCATTTGATTTACATATAGAAGTTTTAAATAAAGTTTTTGTCAAATTAAAAAATGCTGGCTTAACCATAAATTTTCCTAAATGTCAATTTTGTATGTCAAGTTTAAAATACCTTGGATATGTAGTCGATTCACAAGGACTCCGAACTTGCCCGGAGAAAGTTAGTGCCATTTTAAATTTGAAAAAGCCAGAAACAGTGACTGAAGTAAAAAGTTTTATCGCAACCATGTCTTGGTATCGAAGATTTATCGGGAATTTTGCTGATTATTCTGCACCTATTACTGCTTTGACAAGGGGAAAAACTAAAAAACAAAAGATCGAATGGACTCCCATCGCGGAAGAATGTTTTCATAAACTCAAAGAGTGTCTCGTGTCAACTCCTATTTTGATTCCTCCTGATTATTCTAAACCTTTTTGTATTTTTGCGGATGCTAGTGATTACGCTATTGGCGGAGTTTTATGTCAAGAATTGAATAATAATTTTCATCCTATAGCTTATGTCAGTAGAACATTATCTAGAACCGAAGCTAATTACACTGTCACGGAAAGAGAACTTTTGGGTATTATTTTTTCATTGGATAAATTTCGCGGTTTTGTCGAGGGAACTCGTTTTAAAATTTATACAGACCATGCCTCTTTGACTTGGCTTTCAAATATTAAAGACTTACGCGGTAGACTTGCCCGTTGGGCCATTAAACTTCAAGATTTTGATTATGAGATTATTCATATTAAGGGTAAGTGCAATGTACTAGCTGATTTTTTGTCACGGAATCCTTCCGATCTTTGTACTATTGATGTTGATTCCTCTGATAGTTGGTATACTGAAATGTTGATTAAGGTTAAAGATAATCCAGATAAGTTTCCTCTATTTAAAGTTGATAATAATAATTTGTATAAATTTATTCCTAATAAAACCGAAATTAAATCAAATATTCCTGAATGGAAACTTTTTGTACCTTTGAATAAGCGTAATGAAATTCTTAACCAAAATCATGATTCAGTCTTTGCAGGACATTTTGGAGTTTTTAAGACTTTTAATAAGATACTAGAGAAATATTACTGGCCTAAACTACGATTAGACGTTAAAAAATACATAGCTCAATGTCAAATTTGTAATACTTGTAAACCATCACAACAGAAACCCGCTGGTTTCATGGGAAAACCCAAAATTGTTTCATTTCCTTTTCAATGTGTTAGTATTGACATCATCGGTCCATACCCTCGATCTAAATATGGTAACTGTTACGCTCTAGTGGTTTGTGACTGGTTCACTAAATCTGTTTTTGCTCATCCCTTAAGGAAGGTCATTTCTCAAAGTATTGTCAAATTTCTGGAACAAAATATTTTTTTGGTTTTCGGTGTTCCTCAAATTTTGTTAACTGATAATGCCAAATATTTCACTAGTAAAATTTTTAAGAGTTTTATGGATTCTTATAGAGTTAAAGTCTGGTATAATTCTTTGTATCACCCTCAAGTTAATTTTTGTGAACGTTATAATAAAGTCTTAATTACTACCATTAGATCTTTTCTTAAGAACAAGCATAATATGTGGGATCAGGATTTGCATAAAATAACTCTTGCAATACGTTCATCAGCTCATGAAGTCACAGGGTATAGTCCCAATTTTTTAACTTTTGGTAGAATTGTACCTAGTAATGGTGAATTTTATGGTGACATTGAATCGCGTGACAAGATTTTTATTTCAGACCCATCAAATTTCGTTTCAGACTTGTCCAACTTTCCTGAACTTTACTCACAAGTCAAAATTAAACTTGATCAAGCGTATTCTAAGAACAAACACACCTATGATTTGCGCAGACGTCCCATGACACTTAATGTCGGAGATAAGGTGTACAAAGAAAATAAAATTTTGTCTAACGCCGGTAACAATTTTAATGCAAAATTGGCCCCTAAGTTTATTCCTTGTAAAGTGAATAGGGTCATTTCTCCATTGGTATATAATTTGGTTGATGAGAGTGGAAAGGATGTTGGTAATTGGCATGTTAAAAATTTAAAGCATGTTTCGGATATGCCTTTTGATAAGGATGTTAATTGATAGTAGTACGTTTCATAATTTTTTTTTATTATTTTTTTTTACCACGTTTCGGTAGTGTGTCACGGTTGAAAATCGCGACATTTGTTTTGGTGCGTTTTGTTGCAAATTGAAGTAATTTTAGCGGTGTAAACGGGGTTGAATTGTTTACTTTGATAACAGTTTTTTATTTTAATAACATTGTTTTGTTAGTTCAATTTGTTGTTTTAAGTTAATATTTAATTAATAAAAATTCATTAAATATAATATTCTATTAGAATCGTTTTTATGGAAAAATCTTATTAATCTATTTAATTAATTGTGTAAATCGGGCTTTGTTATACGCATGTGCTAATTGGTCAAGAGCACGAGAGGTGTAAAATTCACCTTCCTTTTTCGATGCAATTCTCGTGAGTGACGGCCGAAAATATTTCGGTAAGATTTTTTAATTTTAAATTAGGGTTTAACTAATGGGAATTAATTTTTTTTAAGGCCTTACCGTACTTACTGTACTTACCGTACTTATCGTACTACCGTACATATCGTACAGTATTTATCCAATTCAGTAATTAAATGGTTAAAGTATTTTTGGAAATTAGCAATTTTTTTTGGACAATTTCAATACTACGCAGTAAGTGAGCATTGGTTTTTTTGGAGACGCCACGCTGATTTTTTTTTGTGAGGATTCATAGTGCAACAAATTTTATGGAATAATACGTCGCAATTTGCAACTGGTTTTGTTTGCATTTTGAAGAGTTTGCAAAAGCCGGCACATTTTAACCTCACTTATCAAGTGACACTTAACCTCACTTTTGGACACCTGTCACTGCATGGTTCCATATCCTGTTCAATGGTTCGATGGAGTCAAATCAACCAATAGGAAGTTTATCTTGGATTTTGGAGTTTCACAGTACAGTTAGAAACTTGTAAGGTGAAGTACACTTTTATATGCTATTTTTTTTCAACTCAACTGTCCAAAGGGTTTTCACAAGTGTTAGTAGATACTATTTTAATATACGAATTTAGTTTAAATTTAAATATATTTTGTTTTAGTACATGCTCCTTCAGAGAGTGTTACTATTTAACTTGTTAATTAATATTTTACATTTTATGATTAGTTTGTTCTGGTGCACAATCCCTCAGAGAGTGTTACTATTTAACTTGATAATTATTATATTGTTATAACAGCTACCGTGAAGGGGCTACCATTTTGTTGAATAAATAGTGTTATTATTGATGGTGAGATGTTTTGTTTGATTTAGCCACTAATATTTTCAGAGTACATTTTGTAGTATATTTTTTGGTATATTTTATCTTAATTTACTGTGTTTAACAATAGAACAACCCCCCCATTTGAAAAGTCTCATTTTTCGTCTACTTTGAGTTAGTCGGTGCGTGTAACGGATTCTTTTTTGTAAAATTTTTGATTACTTTTAACATCGGTAACTTTATCCCGTTACAAATTTAATCAACGGCCATATGATCCCCACCAAAGCGCTCAACTTAGCCTGAACGGACTGTACTGGGGCCGCTAATAATTTTTATTATTATCGTTTATATAATTTTTCGTTTATTTGGAATTTAAAGGACTTTGGTCAGGAAAAACCTGTAAAAGTTAGGAAATTTAAAATGATTTTAAAAGGGGGAACCATGTACATTTCTCGTAAAAGTTATAGCAAACTTGTAAATTAAAAACGTCGCTGAAAGTCCCTCACCGTATAAAAATTGTAAAAGTTTTTATAAAAACAGCGAAAAAAAGCAAAAACCGTAACTTCTATCGAGATGCACCGTCTTAAGCATTGTTTCGTAAAGATTACAGGTTAAACGTTCCCGGTCAAAAATCGATGGACGAGACGTCGCGACGTTCGAGCCTGTCGGAGGCGTCGGGCATGAGCGGCGCCTCGACGAGAACGTACATCAACGAGGCCAGCACCTTGGTGCTGGAAACCATCGAGAACGGCATCAAGAAGCACTACCTGGTGCCGCTGTCGCTGGCGCAAAAATCCAAGTGGCGGAAAAAGGGCACCAAGCTGCACATCTTCAACGACCACACCTTCGTTGCCAAGCATTTACAAGGGTAAGTGATGCGCGCACAAGAGATAAACACTAACTGGGTCATAAATAACACTGTGCGACAAATTTTGACCTTACAATTTGAACTGGGATGAAATGTGGAAAAATCGAATCTATGCAACCCCCAAAACTAATCTTTAAAGGGGTTTTGCTAGTTTAGCTCGAATAATGGAGATATACAGGGTGTTTCTTTTAACTTGAGACAGCTCAATATCTCGAGAAATACGCATTTCACGAAAAAATGTCTTAAATAAAAGGTTAATGTGACTAAAGGGGACATTATTTGGTGCTACCGCTAGCCACCCCCTACCCCTCCTTAAGGGTGAAACGGGGGGTAACTTTGGAAAGTCAAATGGAATGACCCGATTTTTTTCACATAGTTTGGTAGTACATAAAAAAATAAATAACTTTTATTTAAAACTTTTTTCAATTTATCAACAGATGGCGCTGTAATTCAAAATTTGAGCTGTCTCAAGTTAAAAGAAACACCCTGTATATCTCCATTATTCGAGCTAAACTGGTAAAACCCCTTAAAGGATTTGTTTTGTGGGTTGCCTAGATTCGATTTTTTCAGATTTGATCCCAGTTCATTTTTTGTGTTGCACAGTGTAATTCACGGTGCTGTTCTGAGAGGTGATTTTTGGACTTTCTGTGAAACCTAATTCTTTTTATATTCTTGTTAATTAGATCATAACTAAAATTTTAAGAGCAAAATAAAAAAAAATTGATGGTTAATTTTGTTTTAATTGGATGTTTATTAAAAGTATGTATGCACACTTTCAATTCTCCAATTAAAACTTGCGATTCTGAGAGAACAAAAATTATAGAATACGTATACTGAAAAGGACAATTCAAACGTCAAATAAATTTTTAATAGATCTAAGTTTCATGGCAACCTTTAAGGATATATTAATTAAGGGAACATAATTGTATACGTCAAAGGTAAGATTAAAAGTTTGAACGTTTATTGCAACAAAACAGTAAAATATATTAAAAAAAATTGTAAAAACCTTTTTTTTAGTTATGCAAATATTAAATATTTAAATTAAATCGCTAGTTTTAATTGGATAATTGAAAGAGTGCATAATATTTTTAATAAACAGCCAATTAAAACAATTCAAACCGTCATTTTTTTTTATTTTGCTCTTAAATTCTTAGTTATGACCTAATTAACAAGAATATAAAAAAAAATAGTTTTCACAGAAAGTCCAAAAATCACCTCTCAGAACAGCACCGTGAATTAAGAACAATAGAAATGGAAATCAGCAAATTAACATAAAAAGAACGTATAAATGCAAAAAACATTAATATCAATTCGCCGTTTTTAAAAAATTTTTAGGAGAGCGATTTAAAGAAAAAATACCATTTTAAAAACTTTAAAAACGCCTGTTGAAATTTATTAATACGATATATTACAAATATTTAAAATGTTCAGTTTTTTTAAATTGCTTCCTGAAAAAACTCATTATTACTTCCGTCATTTTTGCATCTGCCATTGCTAGTTTTTGACATTTGTCATAGCTCAAAATTAAAAAATAGTAGAAGAAATTCTTACAGTAGTTAATAATTAAAAAAATTTGGGAAAAATCCGCGCAGTTGTTTAACTGAAAAAAATAGTGAAACAAATTTTCATACTTTTCAAAATTTCCAAAATAATAAATATTTAAAAATTTACAAAAATCGCCTTACATAGCTCATTTTTGACATCTGTCATAGTTCAAAATTAAAAATTAAAAGAACAAATTCGTACTAAATTAAATTAAATAGTTGGACAAATTTTTATACTTAACATTTCCAAAATTTGTTTAAAATTTACAGAATTTTTAAAATTTACATAAATCGTAAAGTTTCCTAAGTTCTAAATTTATATAAGTTTATTGGACTCACGATTGGCGTTAACCTTGTTGTCTCGTTCTATTACAATGCGATATCATAGTTGTCTCCTTCTCTCGTATTAGCATACGCGAGGCAGGCACGCCTACATCCAAGGAAATAAGCAGGTGTTGTGCAACACTGTTGCGGAATTTTTGATAAATTATACTTCATACGTTTTTCAAAATTCAATAATAAATGGTATTATTTCTCTTATAATAAATCGATTTAATCGAAATTATATTTATATTCTAAAATAAACATATTTTAACACTATCGCCATCTTGTAGCCATCACAGTAACCAATAAAATAAATACAGATTCCTTCTTTAGGTTTTTTTGATGATAAAATTCTGAACTGTTTAAAGAACAAATCTGTGGTTATTTACGCAATATTTTGTTTATTCTTTTTCTATGAGTTTGTCTATTTTATAATTTTTTTCTAATTGGTTTATTCTGTGGGTTTAGTTAATTGAACTTGGTGATTTATGTGAATTTAGACATTATGGATATTAAATCGGTGAGAAATTGTAAAGTTTAAGTTGGGTTTCAAAAAATTTCTTTGCCTTTAAATGAGGGCGAAACCCTTTCTCTGCCTCACCAAAATGAAATGTCACAGGCCGCCACTGATAGTAGAACAAATTCTTACAGTAATTCATAATTAAAAAAAAATTGGGAAAAATTCGCGCACTTGTTTAAATGAAAAAGAAATAGTGGAACAAATTTTCACTTTTCATATTTTTTAAAATATTAAATATTTCAAAATTCTGCCATAGCTCAATTTTGACATCTGTTATGACTAAAAATGGCGAGACAAATTTTTAAAATTGCCAAAAGGCTTGAAAAAAACTCACAAATTAAATTAAATTGTATTTTTGCTATTAAGGGTTAAATATTAAAATATTCTAAAATGTAAAAATATTCATATCAGTCAAAATTACTTAAAAATTTAGAACGACAAAACGTAAAACGTAGAAATCATTAAAAATGACAATAGGAATTACTTGAGAATGTAAAAAGCAAAATTTAGAATGTCAAAAGCAATTTAAGAATGTGAAAACGAAAAACACAATTTGGAGTGTAATATGAAACTAAATTTGTGGTTTTAGGGGTACAATTTGCCAAGTGTGCGCAAAAAGTATAGCGAGAAGGTTTGGCAAGCAAGGCTACGAATGTCGGGACTGTTTATTGAAATGTCACAAACAATGCCACGTTAAAGTCAACGACAACTGTCCGACATCAACTATACACAACTTGGAACTGTAAGTACTCATATATCTCTTCATTTTTCTCTCTTTATTCCCTTTTTACAATGGATCTAATTCAAGAAATGAGAACAAATTTAATGGGTTGGGAATATCTCATTTATTGAATAAAAACCTTGTAGTCCTTTTTTTGATATGCTTGCTAAGTTTTATCAATCATGACAATTACAACATAACAAACATTAATTTCTATATTAATTTGGCAGTTTCACTTGGAAATTTCTCAGTTTTCTAAAAGATAGGTAATTAGAAACTCACTTGTTTTAATGTATACACAATACAATTGGTGCACTGTAGTTTATTTTAAAAGGACATTTTACATTATTTGACAACAATAGGTAAACTTAATCAATAGTGATTGGAGCGGAAAAATTTAGCACTTTTTGCCAAACTGACTTTTAACGTTTTTTATCAAAGATTGTTGCAACTTTTTTCCGAAAATTAAATTTTGATTCAACAGAAATGTTTTAATTTAAAAAAATACATACAGTATGTCCACGGACAAAGAGGAAAAAAATATTTTACATTTCTCAGAAAACTTCATTGTTGATAAAGTTTTTGCTTGATTTTACCCCCCTGTATATGCATAATTTTTATTGGCTATGGTTAATTTGCAATTTTCATTTTCTGAAAATTTTGGACTGATTATTTTTTTGATAAGTTTTTGTTTATTTGTCATTTTCTTTCCAACAAATGAATTTTATTAGTAGGTAGAAATCTCTCAAGAATTATCCATGGATATCATTAATTCTTGCTTATGAAAAATGTATAAAATATGCTGGAAACGATGAAAAATGGCAATTACTTTTAAGAAATGAAAAAGAACGAAAATTGACCAAAAATTATTTTTATTAGAAAATTTTCAGAAAAATTAAAATTGGAAATGATTAAAAAACAATAAAGAATATGTGCTGCATATTCTGGGGGTTTAAACTTTTATCAATAATGAAATTTTCTGAGAAATGTAAACCATTTTTTTTCTGTTATCAACTTGCTTTTAATAAAGTTTAATAATTAACAATTAAACCAAAATTCACAAAATCTAAAAGTTGTTTTCTTCCTTTGTGTTAATTACAAAGTAAAATGTTGTTTTAATTTAAAACTTAACAAAAAGAAAGATATAGAGAATGCTGTACAGAACACCAATTTATCATCATTTCAGTTAATGCTATGCAGTAGTAGTATTTATTGGGAAATGCATTAAAATCCAGAATTTATTTTAAAATATATTTCACAATAAGTTGTATAAAAAGTTTATATACATTTTATTCCTGTTTTTTAACTCATAAAACCTATATTTAATGTTTCTAAAATTTAAAAATATATCAAAATAAACTCTGGGTTTAAAGAATATTGAATAGTTAAACTAATAATATTTGTTTCTATGGATCTATGCTACCGGTTTTGAGTGAATAAGAGGGTAAGAACAATTTTGGTGTGGTGTGCTATTTTTTTTTAGTACAGTTAATCTGTCAAATTTACTGGAAAAAATTGACCATGCTCATTTTCTGCATGCATCATGAGAATAGCTTCTGATTGACCTTTGTGCGATGCTTTTATATTATATTTTTTATTTGCCTTAAAACCGTATTTTGTGGTTGTTTGGTGGATTTTTTAGGTATTGTATTATTTTCACCTATAAAAACTTATTTTAGGTCCTACATCACAAATCCCTACACGGACAAGAACATTCGAATGTTATAAGCATAAAACTACTCGGAGGCTACAATTTAAAAACGGGTAGTTTAGCTTTTTAGTAAATAAGATCTATAAAAAGTAACATTAAATTTTATTATGATACAATTGGCGTAAAATTACTTTTTTGTGATTGTACAATAGTTTTTACAAGCACAAATTGTTGTTAAGCTTTATTGAGTGAGCCACAATGTTAATTTCATAAAATCTTATTTTTTTACATGTTTTATCCTTTTATTTATATTTTATAGTTTTTCGTTATACTATTTATTTGTAAATACTTGTTAATTCAGAGATCTGTAAAATTTATTTTATTTTATTATGTTGATTTTGTAAATTCACTTTTCAAAATATTTTATTTTTTTGTTTGTATTAACACACAAAAAATGTTTCAAGGACTTCAAATAAACTGCTTTAATTAAAATGTATGTGAACATATTTTTGAATGTTTTATTTATAAGTGCCTGTACTTTAATAATTAAAAAAAATGTTCTTTGTACTTGCTATTTTAAAAACAAACTTTATGGGTAGCAGTTTTACCCAAATGTAAAAGGTGTAAGTTTCAATATTTAAATATTAAGTATAACTTTTGTTAGCATTGTCAATGGAAAATAAATTAATACATTTTATGTTCTCTTTTATTTAAATCCTTTTCATTAACCAAATTGGTAACGTTTTATTTTAATAATATATATTATATAGTTTCTCACAATTATAAAATTAAATTTACAAAATAATATTGCCTAAACACTAAAATGTACTTAATACTTACAGAAAATAAAACTAGAATTCCAATTATAGCAATTAATTAACAAAAAATTAATCTGCTTAGTTGGGTTAGGTCATCTGTCAAATTAATCTTTTCTTTGATATAAATAACTCTGCTCCTTGGTAGTTTTTGTCAATTTTTTCTAGAATTTTCGTTTTTTTCTTTCGAAATACTGTTTTTTTATAGGCCGCTTTAATTTGAGTCCCATTTTCGGAAACGTTATCGGAAAATATTTGACAGTTTTTATGTTTTTAAAATTGACTGAGATACCAACTTTGTAAAAAAATTAAAAAAAAAAACAAACGAGATGGTCATTAATTGTAGCCAAGCCAATAAAAAAACCAATGGGCTACCCACAGAAATAATACTATAATAATATACCTAATGTATAATAAATTATTATTATTTGTATGGGATATTTTTGATATTTTACGACTTTAAAACCAATTCCGAAAAGTGCATTTTGTAATAATAAAGATTGTATAGCAATTTTTCTAATGGCATATTGGGCAACCCACTCTACAACCATCGCAACTTTTGTCTATTTTAAAATTCCTTTAGAATTTATTTTCGGTTTGTTTTTAAACTTGACACAGAAAATAAACAGCCTAATATACTGATGGTATTTTTAGATGATCATTTGATGAACGTGCCGAGTTTTCTTGTTTTTTAACGGCGGCATTTCGTCTATTTGGCGAATCTAAATTTAAAGTTTCGCTGGCTTCTGATGTTCTTTAGGGCGAAAGTCGCTTAATGGGAATGCAGTGTTGCCAGACGATTCTACAGTTTGACAGTTGGTTTCACTTATTTGCTTTTAAAAGTGTTATAAATATTGAATTAATAATGTTTTATAATGAATTTGTCACATTAATATTATTTGCGTTGGTTAAGTTGTGTGGCAGTTTAAACAAAGTTTTTTAAAAATCTTGGGTGTGTTGTAAAATTTGCAGGTTCGGCAACAGTGTAAAGAATTGACAGTTCTCAAGTGAAATTTTTTGTCAGTTCTGCCAGATTCATGAATACGTCCGCACATAATCGAAGTAAAAAAATGTAGTTTAGTAAACAGTTTGTAAATCAATTTCGTGGTTAAATATGCGCGTTCTCCGTCTGTGTTAATTGTGTTTTTTTCGGTGCTGAATGCAAAAACATCGGCTTCAATGTTTTGTGATTTTTAGGGTTTTTTGATGGTATTTTAATTTTTTTTGTAACAATGAGCGAAGATAAAGAAATGGGTACGGCGATAAACGGTGAGACAGCAGTCGTGCCTGAATCGCCAAAACCGCTGGCGTTCACGATTGATTTTGGGGGTGAAAAGAAAGTAGATCCGCAAAAGCAACAAAACATCCTGGAGAGGATACAAAAAAGGCACAAACGGGGCCAGTCGATGTCCAAAATAGAAGACAAAACGATGAATTGCACTCCGAAACATCCACTGACAGGCAATTTACCCAGAAAATCAAGCTTCCAATCGGAGGGCTATTTCTCATCGGATGAGAAGACGGAAAGGGCGAAAAGTGCAATAAAACGCTCAGACCTAACCTTGCAACTGAAAAACGTCGCTATGGATCAAAGAATGACACAGTCGTTTCCTTCCACTGAGCTCTCTAGTATAATTAGCCCGGAAGTGGAGTTGAAGGACATTTCGAGTCCGGAATTGGATTTAGTGAGTCCGTTTAGTCCTAGATTTACGTCGGAAGTTATGGCGACGGCGTCCAGTTCTGAAAGTGAGGTTATTGTTATTAGTGATGAAAATTTTGTCAATGGGGGTGAGTTCGATTTCGATCAATCTGACACTGCCAGTGACGCTGGTACATACACCTTGGACGCTGAGAATTACAGTGAGGAGCAGAAGGAGAGGATGAGTATCGATAGGGAGTTTAAAATTGAGACAATGTCGGTGCAGCAGAAAACGGAGGCGTACATTAAAAGTTTGGCGGAGGCTAGGGAGAAGAAGGTGAGTGCTTTGACCATCAGGGAACACGATGTGGTTAAAGCTGTGCAAATGTTGAAAATGAATGAGGAGCATTTGTTGAGGAGAAATTTTTTACCTCCTCCTTCACCGAAGCCGAAAACTTTATCTCCTATTATGTCACCGACGCAGAATTTGTCTATAACGCAAACGATAGAGGATAAGCAGTTGAATAACAGCAGTGAAAATGATAGTTTGAATAATACGTACACGAGAATCATGTTTCCGAGTCCGAAGGCCAAAAACGGGGGCCTCGTGGACTCGGGCAGCGTCATATCGGTGACGTCGAGCGGGGCTTTTCGCTCGAAAAACGACAAACCGAAGCGCAAATGCAGTTTGAGCAAGTCCGAGGTGCAAGTGGAGGCCTTCATCGACGACAAACCCGTGTTCGGGGAGTTAAAATCTACGCCCGCGAGAAATTTAAATCAGAAACTCACGGTCAACATCGTCAACGTTCAGAACATCGAGGTGGGCGGTAGACTGCCGCCCCCGGTCGGCGGGTATTCGGGCAAGAGCTCCCCCACGAAAATCCCGTCCCCGATACACACCAATCGTCCTAGGAGCACGTCTTCTCAGAATGTAGATTTATCCGATAGCAGTTTGGATACGGAGAACATTCTAAGACCCACGCAGAACTTCATCAACTCTCTGCAGCAGAGGTTGTCGCTGGAGTCGGATCCGGATTCGGATTTCGAGAGCAAGTACGGGATGCAGCTGAACAATACTGCACACCTGCTCAACAAGCAAAGAGCCACGCACATCAGACACAACTCGCTGGACGATCGGGCCATGAACATCTCGAACAAGTTGGAGCACTTTCAGAGCAAAAACCTGCAAGGTATTGATCAAACTTACAGCAACGTGTTTAATCAATATCAGCACGGCAAGGTGATGCACAAGATCCAGAATTCGCCGAACAACTCGCCGATCAGGCGGTCGAGCAGTTTCACGACGAAAAACCAAATCAACTCGGCCACGAAAAACACGAACGTGTTACACAGAGAAGTGAATCTGTGTAATTCCCCTGTGAATCTGCAGAGGATACAGCGTTCTAGCTCCACGGCGAGCATTAAACCCAACCTGGCTCTAGCTCAGCGCCGTTGCAGCATAGAGCACCAAAAAATCGACCGCTCGCAGTTCGGCGACACGGAATCCAGCTCGGAGGAGGACTTCGAGAAAACCCTGCAAAAACGTCGCGATCTCGGCAACGTCGCCAGCGCGCGCTGCAACCGCGCGTTCGGGCTGAGGAGGGCGCGCGCCGACGCGGAAAGTTCCACGCCGGAAGCGCGCCGCAAGCTGCCGCAGCCGGAAGCGAGGCACCCGGAGCGCGCCATCTCGATGGACCGGAAGCCCGTCAAGACGGAAGTGCAGAGTCGGTATCTGATGGGCGTGTCGAAGCGGGCGTCGCCGTCGCCCGCCAAGGAGGTGCCGAAAAGTGTCGCCGTCAAGTTGGCGGGCGGGACGCCGCAGGCCAAGAAGGCGCAGCAGGCGTTTGCGAGGACGGACAGCGGTCGGTTCAGTATGCGCGGCAGCCCCAAGCCGCCCGCGTCTGCGCAGAAATCGCTCAAAAAGGACAATACAGGTAATTTGACAATTTTCTTAAATTATAATTTTTTTTTATTTGGACTCTACCAACTTTATCAAGTTGGTAGCTTATGCCAGTTTGATTTAGTATTTAAAAAATGGTACTTCTGCGGAAGACCTTAATTAAATACACTGACACTGTCAAATTGACAGTAATATTTTTTATTAATAATAATTAGTAAATTATTTACTTGCTAATTAATATATAATATAACTAAGTCAAAAATAATATCAGAATCTAAACTAAAAGGACAAAACTTATATAACGAAGTTCTGCCAAATGCCTCAATGGCAGAAAAAGTAAAAATGTAACGTTTTTGGTTTTACAAATATTAAATCACACATTATTTTCAGCTAAGCTGATCAAAAATTTTTGAAAAAAAAATATTTGCTGGTGGGTTTAACCTTTTTGTGAAAAATCCATTAGTTAATTTTCCTGTCTTTGAAAATAGCATCCATTTGGTTTGAAAAAGATAAGCAATAATCACGAAACTTTTTCTTCTTTCAATTTGCAAGTTAATGATCATTAATAGTCCTGGACAATATATACACATTATAAAATTACCCATTCACCATTGGAGTCCCATGATTGAACAACATTCACGTGTGTTCATATAAAATTTTAATTTCTTTTCAAAGCGAAGAATATTATCCGCTAGGAATACTTTTTCTCTCCTGGGCAGTAGTCACCTATATTTAACTACTTACTTTTTTATATGATTTTACTCATCTACGCACAACCAAAGCCAAATTAATTGCATTTTTAACTCAACTTGACAACCATTCAATTCAACCTACAAATTGTAGGCTACAATAATTTAAACATAACCACAATTACATTTATAACTACTTTAGTTTGTTTTATTTAATGCAACCAAAAATAACAATTACTGTAACAATTTAATAAACCAAAACTGTTTTAATTAATATTATGTATTACTAATTTATTACTAAAAGTGTCCTCCATTTACATTCAAGTAGGGATGCACCGGAGTTACTGCTCACCTACTGCCTCCGGCCGATCCGGCCTATGCGGCAGCATATCCGGCTCCGGCCAAATTTTTAAACTGATCCGGCAACAACGGCCGGATTGTGGCCGGATTTTTTAAATTAAAAATAAAATATTTTTTCAAATGTTTATTATAAAAAAAATATATATTCTTTTACAAGTAACAAACAATTTTTTTAGAAATAATTTAAAAATAGATTAAGGATTAAACTTCATGATTTAAGCGAACATAAGATAACGAAGTCCTTAAGTTATAGTGCAAAAATTCGAGTTGTTCACCTTTCTCGGGAAGAAATCGGCTATGCGCAGTTAACAGGTGATCGTATCTATGCGCACTAAGTAACAGACGCCGTACGTATGCGCAGTGGTTTTCAGATGGTTGTATTATACCTATTATAATTATATAATACAATATTGTACCTATGTTTTTTAATTGTTATAACTTTTAGATTAGGTATAATAATAAATATTATTTATTTATTTTTATGTTACCTATTTATTATTTTTTTAAACGTTTTATAAAGATATACTTTTTAATATATTATTGGTTTTAAAAACTTTTATTTATTGATAAATAAATATGTTTTTGTTTTTTCCCCTAAAATAGCTATTTAACGAACTCATTTGAGTCCGTAAAATAATTCTTTTTTTGTACTAGTACGAAAAAGTTGCTATGGAAACTTTTGCAAAATGGTTCTTGAATCATTGCAATACAACAATCAAAAATAAAATTCGATAACTGTCACTGACAGTGACTCACTGTCACTGTCAATAACCTTAATTTCGAGAAATAGGTATTTACTCTATTTAAAAATTTGAATATATGGACCTAGAACAAAAAAATGTTGTTTGCAACCAGTACCTAAAAATCATGTTTTTTAGGACAAATCGTAGCTGTTTGCGGTCGAGGCGAAGCCAAAACCAGAACAGCCGATGTTACAAAAATAGCTATAATAATACGTATATATATATATATGTATAATTATATTATTTTTTAACTAATATAATATGTAAGATCCGGCCGACTCCGGCGAAATCCGCCAAAATCCGGCCGGAGTTAATCCGGCCGATGAAGCCGGATTACTGCATCCGGTAATCCGGCCAAAATCAAATCCGGTGCATCCCTACATTCAAGCATTTCTTAATTCTTACGTTGATCTTTTTGACTATTCTGGGTATAATATTAGAAATTGTTAAATAACTTTGAAATTATTAAATTTAGGTAAAGGAAATAGTTAAATAATTTTCTATTTGATTATGTAAAAACATACAGGGTGTTACATTTAAAATAAAAAAAATTATTAACCTTTCAAGTTAGCCTAATTTGCCCTTAGGTTATTTGTTGAAAAATTAACATGGAATCTTTTAAACAATGTTTTAAGATTTCAAATATTCCACCCCCATTTCCGCAAACCTAATAGCAAAAAAGTTATAGGCTATTTTTGATTGACGCGCATTTGTCAAATTTTAACAAAAAAAATTAATAACTCGAAAACTATCCACTTTAGGTATAGGACATGGTATAGTAATTTTACTCAGAATTTTATGTAGAATTTCAAAATGTAAAAATATATGGGGTGTTCTATTTGAAATAACAAAGTTGATGCCACTTAAACCGTAATATTTTAGAAAAATAGACTTAAATAGATTATAAACTTTCAATGGACCACGAACGTGCAACATCCTTTATTTAATAAATGTGCAACAGTGGATAACTTAAAAAAAACGCCGAGACACGAGTATCATTTTTCTATTTTAAGTCTATTTTTAAAATCCATAGGAATTTTCCATGGGAGGAAAAATAATCAAATTTTGTCGTAGTTAAGTAAGTAACATTCTCAATGTAGTTGTTTCAACATTTCAAATTTGGTAATAGAAAACACTCAATCAAAAAATAAATATAATTTTCCAAGAAAATCACAAAATAAAGACATATTCCATCAATTCCTTAAATCAATAAAGGTGTCAAGATTTAAATACAGAAATTGGGTTTTAATGTTTTTGTTTGTCAAAATAACATTATTCGGTTATTGGGTATTAGGCTTGAATTTGAATTTTAAAAGAGTTGTGTAAAATTATGGGCATATTATTCCAAATTACTTGTTAAATAGCAGGTTTATTTCAAATGTATTCCAAGCTAATTTAATTTGTATATAAACACATGACCTTTACTTATGACTAATATTTAATGCATGCACTTTTTTGGTCTGTTATTTACATATCATTTCCATCAAACAATTATGTTAAACTATTTTTTCATTTAAAACTGCTACTTCCTAATGGCAGATTCAAGGGTATTTCCTATGCATCCTGTATAATGGATTCTTTTGTTAAATTTCAAACAGTTAACCATTCAATACGTGTACTCGAAAACATACGTGACACACTTTAAATAAATTTTCTTTGGGATGCCTTTTAAAAAAATAAACACCATTGTTTCTATAAAAAAAACAACTTGTAGTGCATTCCAAAGCTGCTGCACTGTTGCCGATAACAATTCAAGATTTTTAAATACTGGCATTATCGAGAAGTGTTTTCTATTTTTACTCTATTACTGCAATTATTATTAGTCTGCAATTATTGTACATTTTACTTCCTATTTTTCATAATGGCGAGATTCAACCTTTGGTTTAAAAATTTATTGGTTAATGGGATGGTTTTATGGGAAAATTCATTAAAAAGTAACATAAAAGCGTTTAGTATTACAATGATGTCTGCATATTATTCAATGTAATTATTTTTACTTTGGTATAATTATCTGTTATTTCCTAACCTTTTCGTTTTGTTTAATTTAATAAGTACAAGGTAATTTGTATTTTGTATTTAAATACCTACGTTCCATTTTTTTTATGTCAAAACATATTATGTTAAGCCCATTTAAAGGCAGAATAAACTTTATAAAATTACGACTTTTTATTTAAATAAAAGTCTAAAGCATTTTAAATAGTGTCAGGTAAAATTTTCATCAATAGAATAAATTAACTTTAAATAGGCACAGTAAACTTAAACGGTACATAATATTATTAATAATAATAAGATTGTCCGAAACAAATTTCAAAGCAGTTTATTAATAATTGCGGTAATCTTTTAATAAAATCTGTATCAGGTTAAAATGTTTTTAATGACCATCTTTAATTTTGCAAAATGCCGCTCATCAGCTGTCGTAGAAATCTCATTATTTTGAAAACCTTCTAATTAATTTAATTAATTTTGTTGCAAATGATATCTATTATGCATTGTTGATATTTTCAAGTATCTGTCATTTTATATTTTAACACACCTAAATTTGTTCGAATAATTATTATATAAAATGCATAATGAGAACCTTAATAAAATCAATAGATTTGATAATACGTGATATAGTTTATATTGAACTTACAGATGTTTTAATTATAGTACGTTATACAATTCTTGGAAATCTCGAAGTCTAAACAATTTAGTTCATTAAACAAACGATTTTTTCTTTAACCTTTTGTGTCAATATTTACTCAAATTGACCAATATTTATCCAGTAGAACGAATTGTTGTATAAACTAAATATAATCAGGAGAAAAGCAAACAAACAAAAGGAAAATTTATCTTAAAATAATCATTGTTTGGAATTATCCACCGATTTAAATCTAAATGGCTTCTTATGCTTTTCAATGGAACGCAAGCGCATCATCTAAATTGGAGTAGTATTATTTAAGTTAATTAATACATCGGTTTGGTTTTCAATTGTAATTAAGTATAAGCGAAATAAATAAATAAACATAAGTGGAAAGTGTTGCTCCAGATTTTTTGAAGAAGAAAATTTATAAATAGCGTGGCCTTTTTCTTTATGAAACATGATAATTGCTGCTGGTGTTTTGAACGGTACATAAAATGTATATCAAACCCAGAACACTCCATTTGAGTAACACTGTCATTAATTTAAAATATACGCTATTAAAGTTATAAAGTTATAATAATGTTATAATTTACTAAAAATATTTAAAATCCGTGTCTAATGAGCTTACATTTCTAACACCAAATTATAATTCCAATTAATTGCATTTCTTGATTTCATAAATTTAAAATTTATATTTCCAAATCAATTAAACACCAACATGTTTGGTAATTTATAGATGTTTTTTTGTATGAATTGTATAAGCGTTTCAAAGGCAGTTGGTTTATTTTTTGTGAAACGCACTAATCAGTTATACATGGCCAATGAGTTTTAATGCTTGAGAACATCATGCTTTGTGTCGTGATCTATGGTTGAGAACGAAACAATGCAATTCTAAAAATTTAAGTTTGTTAGGATATTTTATTGTAACAACAAAGTAATAGTAACGACACAAAAGAAATAGTTTTATAGTTTGTGGAACATTACTTTAATTTTAAGAAATTGGAGTTTGTACAAGAAACATTTGAGTTAGAAATTAAATTTGTATTTAAGGTTAGTTAGTTAAGTGTCACACACACACAGTTCGGTGTTTATTTTGCACCTCTTGCCTGTGGAATGTCTTGGGAATGTGTTAGGTCATGGCTGTGACTCATAATAACAATCTTTTAACTAACGGTTAAAGTTTTGTCGATATAAGCTTTCACTTCCAAAAATAAAATTCTGTTAAGGGATTCACCTTATTAAATGTCAACATTAACAGTAGCCATAATTTGGTTTTTTGTTCGTCTTGTTGCGTAAAGTAGTTACCGTTTATTAATTAATTTAAATACATGCTGGTACCAGGACATGATATATATTTTAAACTTCCTTTTGTATTTTTATTTCAATATCAGGCATAATTTATGTCAAGGTATCGATAAAATAGCAGTGTGTACAATAATTGTACACACAAATTATTTGTTTGTTAAATATAAACAATGTCAAATTTACCTTTGTTGAAAAACAAATAAATAACTGTATAATAAACTTAAAAATAGATTTAATGTGAATTGATTAATATTTTTAATATGTTAATAAAACATTTAATGTGAAAAATATCATGGAAGGCTGAAGACTTTCAAAAGTAATTTTAAAATTTTGTTTTAAACAATTTTTCAGCCATTTTAATCCACATTTTATGTTGTGATTTTTAAGATTTTATCTACTAAAATATATTAAATTTTGTTTGTATCATGATATGAGATTTCCTTTTTATACAGGGTGTTTTAGTTTTAAGCTAATAAATCTCTAAAACTTGATAATTAAAATAGATTTATTTGTCTTGCTTAAATTATAGAACGCTTAAAGATAAAATATTTTTGTCAATTTAACACCACACAATTTTTGTGTTAAGGAAAACCACAACCAAGTTAAAATGAATTAAAAGATAAAACTTTTGACTTGCTTATAATATATATTGTAATAAATCACCTTATATAATATAATAATTTATGTAAATTAAATTATTTCTAAGGTTAATAAAAAAACAATCTTTGTTTGTGGGAAATACTTACATTAGTTCCATAAATGATATTAATTTATTTAAAGGGTAATTACAATTTTACCTTTTTATCGTATTCCCTGCAAAAATAAAAAAATCCAAAGTTGTTTAAACAACGTAATCAGCATTGCAAATTCAAACAATTAAGAAACTTTTCAGAAATCATTATGTAAACTAAAATGTAATACGAGTTCCGTTTGTACAAAAAACTAGCGTTAAGATCGAGATAAAATTGTTTAACTGTTTTGTTTTAAATTGTAAATTCATTTTGTATTAAAATTAGAGATGTGAAAAAAACACGAAAAAAACCTAGAAACAAAACGGTTTTTTTGGTTTTTTTCAAATCCGCTACAATAAAGCATATTCTGTCAATAAATAACATCAATCTTAAAAAATGGAGTAATTTTTCAAAATGAAATTTTGAGAAAAATGTATATTAATAATAAAGTGAAATGTAGAATATATTACATTTTTCATTATTGAAAATTTTGACCGAGACTAAAAAATCTGATTTGATAGCAATGTAAAACTTCTACACTAATAGAAAAAATTAAAAGATAAAAAAAAATCCATATTTTTTGCGATTTTTCGTATTGGAGCTGTAAAAAAGCAATTTGAAGCTTGAAGTTTCTAGTTTTGAAATTTTTAGATAAAAAACTTGCTCCGTAATAAAAAAAAATCGAATTTTTTGGCTTTCTTTTTTGGTCCACCGAATGTTCTGACTAACCACCAATGAATAAATGATCTACAAGAACTTGCTATTGTTTTTTTGAAGAAAAAATTTACATATTCTACATGAATTTTAAAAATCATGAAAAAAAGTGCTTTTGGTAGTTTTTTGAAAAATCAAGCGCTGAATCAAAAATATTATAGGAAGTTAATTTTTTTAGGACAAAATCAAAACAAGCGCGGCCCTTATTGGTCAGTTCGGTGGTGGTGGCGCGTGTATAGCGTGAGATTGTACTTACATTTACATTTACTAAATGTCATTTAGTGGCTAATTTTAGTCCATTATCTATTATCTTATTAATATTATTATTATTATCTTTGCCTCTATCCACCCCTTTTCTGCTGTCCTTGACTTTTGAGAAACCCTGTATACACATATTGACAGTATCTGATTTTAAAATTAGACAACAATGAAGATCTTCATCTACATATGTGATTAATTACAATTTATTTGTACGTTAATAATTGATTAATCATTTATTTCAAATATGGATAGACAGGAATTTAATAAAAATAAACATGATCATCATTGTCATTTGCAGTTATAGCATTGAACAATAAAATTCTTGAATATTGTTTAAAATATTATGAATTTTAGTATATTATGTATCAAGTTTGATAAACGCCATTTTAGACACGAATTTAATTTAGGCACGAGCGAGTGCTAAAATTAATGAGTTTCTATAAAAGTTTATAAATTAATTGCATACTATACTTTTTTTACGACAATGTTAAAAAAATATTTTATACTTTGATTTTTTTATTACTAAAATTGCAAAATATTATCACAAAGTATTAGAAATTATTACACGGGAAATGTTAGAAGTACAAAAAGTGACAGTTGTATTTATTGGAATTCCCGTTAGAATTTCTAACTTCGGAATCTACTGGCAAATTTTTCTGTGTAAATCAAAATTTATCCCTTTAAAAAAGACTTAGAATCGATATAAAAGCAGTTTTTCATAGTAAAAGAGAAGAGAATGTTTTATGGGCACTGTACGGAAAATTTTTAACGCTTTATCAGTTAAATCTAGTTACCCATTTAGTTTTATTTTTCAATAAAGGCACTTAATTTTAACGATTGTATGACATTTGACAATTGTCAACTATCTTAAAACTTCAGCCCGTGACTAAAGCGCCATAAAGCCACAACTTGTCAATGTTTATTTCAAAGGTCACTTAGTTTCATGGAAACATGCACGATAATGGGCGTTTTAAAGGTGGTAGTGGAAAAAATATAATAAATAAACATTTTTATTTAAAGTCGGTCCTATTTTGTTTTGATGATACATTTTTTGACATATTTAGTTGCCAAAATGTTGTAAATAATAAACTAATCTAAATCGTGATGTTAAATTTGGTTCAATAACACGCAATGTCTTAAAAATTTATTATTTTCGAGAAAAATATTACTGATTTGTGTTTATATTCGACTAAATAAATCATTATTAATTTTCGAATATTTAGTTACCAAAATGTTGTAAATAATAAACTAATCTAAATCGTGTTTGTTAAATTTGGTGCAATAACACACAATGTCTTAAAAATTTATTATTTTCGAGAAAAATATTACTGATTTGTGTTTATATTCGACTAAATAAATCATTATTAATTTTCGAATTAGGTATGTTTAATGGTGTTATAAAAGTGTTTAACGCCAAATTATTGTAATTTAGTAATAGTAGGTACCCTCGCTGATTTACGGATGATGTTGAGGGGGGCAGGTCAGACCGTGCGTGGCAAATTATAATTTTATGTAGATTAGCCAAATTGGACACTGCCCAGTTTAGTTCTATGTATAGAAAACAATCTAGTTGATTACTTATAAAACTTCTAGTTTACGAAATTTCAAACTTGATAATCTCTGCTTTTAAATAAACATTTTATTGCTTGTCACAGTGAAAGTTTTTACTGAAATGTATAAACAATAAAAATAATATTTTATGCAGTATTAAACGTTTTAGGATAGTATTGGAATTGAAAAATGTGACGTCACAATATTCCATTCGGCTGTTTCCGGATCGCCATCTTTTAATACAAAACATTTTTATTTTACACTAAAAACTAATTTCCTCGGTCTAAAAAATACCAAAAAATTTATACAACCAATTTTGAATGTCACATTTTGTAATATTAATCTACAGGGTGTCCCAGAATTAGTGCGACAAAATGAAGGTGTATTATCTTAAGACCCCCAGGAATTCCAGAAAATTGTTTAAAAAATTCTTTCTTCATTATTTAATAAGATACAGGGGAGTTATATTTTCTTTGCCTCATAACAAAGTAACAGTTTAATTCTTAATCATCATAACAACAAACAACAATGTTAGAAAATGCCAAATTTAAATGTCAAAATTTGTTACTTTAAGTTATAGGTTATTTATTTTATGTCAGACTGGATAGAAAAAATACATTGACATTTAAATTTGGCATTTTCTAACATTGTTGTTTGTTGTCATGATAATTAAGAATTAAACTATTACTTTGTTATTGGGCAATGTTGCCATATAAAGAAAATATGACTCCCCTGTATCTTATTAAATAATAAAGAAATAATTTTTTAAACAATTTTCTGGAAGTCCTGGGCGTCTTTAGATAATACACCTTCATTTTGTCGCACTAATTGTGGGACACCCTGTATATGGGATTTTTTAAAAGCATAATGTCCAATACCTGTCGATTATTTTTAGGTAAAAAATGTGGTGGGACTCGCAGCAACTCGAGCCTCTCCAGTCGAGAGGTGGAATTCCAGAACTGGAAGCGACGAAAAAGTTACGATCCGATGAAGGCGGCCGCAGAAGGCAAACGAAAGCAGGAGATGGCGAAGCAGCGCGTCACCATGACGCAGCCCTGCGGCATGGCCAATGGCGTCATGACGCAGTCCTACACGGAAGCCAACCACTCGCAAGACAGCTCGCCAAGTCATTCCAGCTCAGTTCACAGATCACAGGTAAATAAATTATATCCTGTATATTATTATTATTTTTGCTGTTACTCTAGCTTCTTACGAAGGTTCGTTAAGTTTTACATTCCTGAATATGATATCGACATTTTTTTTTCTTAAATTGTAGTTTACAGCTCGATTTCCATGAAAATATTCTGTGGAATCGACCTTTAAAAGCAATGCATATAAAAATTCTTGGTTTCCAATCTTTAAACGGCTCTCCTAAGGAGTGTCTTCTTTAAAGTCAGGTTTTGGACTTGCCTTACTTTGGCTCAAGGTTACATTACATTCTAGAAAACTTTTGGTTTTTGTTTACTTGGTAACGTAAACCAATATTAAAAATAAATTTGTTTAAGTCAATTCAAACTAAACGTATAGAAAAAAAATATTTTGTGCTATGAATTGTGTAATGTATAAAATGCTTTATAAACAGTCGGTGTATCAATATAAATATATTTAAATCAATATAAACCAATGCATGTAAAAATTCTGCGTTTCAAATCTTTAAACGGCTCTCCTAAGGAGAGGCTTCTTTAAAGTCAGGTTTTGGACTTGCCTTACTTTGGCTCAAGGTACAGAATTTCATTCTCGAAAACTTTTGGTTTTTGTTTATTTGGTAACGTAAACCAATATTACAAATAAATTTGCTTAAGTCAATTCAAACTAAACGTATAGAAAAATATATTTTGTGCTATGAATTGTGTAATGTATAAAATGCTTTATAAATAGTCGGTGTATCAATATAAATATATATAAATCAATATAAAACAATGCATATGAAAATTCTGCGTTTCAAATCTTTAAACGGCTCTCCTAAGGAGAGTCTTCTTTAAAGTCAGGTTTTGGACTTGCCTTACTTTGGCTCAAGGTACAGAATTTCATTCTCGAAAACTTTTGGTTTTTGTTTATTTGGTAACGTAAACCAATATTACAAATAAATTTGCTTAAGTCAATTCAAACTAAACGTATAGAAAAATATATTTTGTGCTATGAATTGTGTAATGTATAAAATGCTTTATAAATAGTCGGTGTATCAATATAAATATATATAAATCAATATAAAACAATGCATATGAAAATTCTGCGTTTCAAATCTTTAAACGGCTCTCCTAAGGAGAGTCTTCTTTAAAGTCAGGTTTTGGACTTGCCTTACTTTGGCTCAAGGTACAGAATTTCATTCTCGAAAACTTTTGGTTTTTGTTTATTTGGTAACGTAAACCAACATTAAAAATAAATTTGCTTAAGTCAATTCAAACTAAACGTATAGAAAAAAATATTTTGTGCTATGAATTGTGTAATGTATAAAATGCTTTATAAATAGTCGGTGTGTCAATATAAATATATATAAATCAATATAAACCAATGCATATAAAAATTCTGCGTTTCAAATCTTCAAACGGCTCTCCTAAGGAGAGTCTTCTTTAAAGTCAGGTTTTGGACTTGCCTTACTTTTGCTCAAGGTACAGAATTACATTCTCGAAAACTTTTGGTTTTTGTTTACTTGGTAACGTAAACCAATATTAAAAATAAATATGCTTAAGTCAATTCAAACTAAACGTATAGAAAAAAATATTTAGTGCTATGAATTGTGTAATAGTCGGTGTAACAATGTAAAAAATTGTAAATAGGGTGTGCCCCAAGGTCCTGCTCTCGGTTGTATTCTCGATAATTTTAACAATAGCATATTTTACGATTCGTACTATTGGTTGAAGTCTATTTTTGTAATTGAAACGGATGCCAAGTATTAATCGTGTCGTGCTCTCGCATTTGGGACAGAAATGACATTCGAAGAAACATTGACATACAATTTTAAATATACGCCACATTCTTTATTTATAAATATCTGGAAGTTTAGATGGGTTAACTAAGAATTTCTTGGACGTACCGTACTTAACGGTCCATACTAAATTTAGCTTTTAAAAGCTAATTTTTTATACATACAATTTCTATTGTTTTGCCATTTTTACAATACTTTTGTGATTGCAAATTTAAAGTTTTTAATTTAATTTCAACGACAGCAATATTACTGTTTATTTCAATTGTAAAATTAAATTGATTTCAAAACAGCGGGACTATTGCATTTATTAAAAAAAAAATGATGATGCAATTATAAAAACGAAAGCGATTTACACAGAATTATTTTTTAAATTTATTTATTTCCTAGTGTTAAATTAACCAAGAGCAACGAATCGATAATTAATTTCGAGTTTAATTAATGTCTGTGAGTTACAAGCCATATCGCGCAATAAACATGGAATCCACTGTACTTTAATCAAACACACTCGAAATAAAATGCATGTTCACTTCCTGTTTGAACAAACATGCATATTTCTTAGCCCACTACAAATTTCAATCTATTTGTGCTTAAGCGTAAAATACGTGAAACCCCTACGGAACGAAACGGAAAACATAAAAGTCTACTTTGTCATCGCGACAGGTGTCTGGGAGGCGTTCTAATAGTCAGGTTTGTAACGGAAATAAAAGAGGAAAGGCCCAATTTAACGTCTGCCCTTCAGACAGTTTCGATTTTACACAATGTTTTATTTATTTAGGTGTATTTTTTTTTCAAAAAATTACCCCAAATAACGATGTAAATCAATATTATTGTTATTATTATTATTAACAGATTTGGGTGAATATATTGAGATTTCCTTCAAGTGAAAATGATTATTTTTTATTTTTGGTTGTTTCACTGTTAGTCTAGAATGGGGTTTTTGGGAAGCCACCAGGTCTAGTAATAACATAACATAAGTGATTCTGCACTAATGCAAGAATTTTAAGAAATCATGCATTTTGAATATTAGAGCTTCACGGAGGTAAGGATTTCGTATGTTTTTTTTTAACATATTTTTGTATATTTGAAATAACTTATTGTATCTTTTGACACCTTAAAATTTGTTAAAAAATACAATTGTACATACAAAAAATATTTATAAAAAAAATCTACTTACTGAGATATTACACTTCACGGTGGATAGGTTTTTAAATAGCAAATTAATGAACTTAAATGTTTAAATTATAAAACAGCAACACTCTCATCTGCATATAAATTCTAACTGACATTCAGGAATCACATGCATCTTTAATGTCTTAAACAGAGGTTTTTGCTTATTTAAAATGATTAAAGCGCCATCCGTTGCATAAAATTTAAAGCAAAAACAGAATCAATTTTTATAACACCTACATAAATGGTTATAAAAATTATTTCTTTTAATTTTTAATAACATTTTATATTTGATTCGATTGCTTTGGATGTGTTTAATTTACTTAGTGAACTGATATTTTTAGTATGCTTTTACTACCTCAGATATTTGAAAACATATAGGTTAACCTAGAAAGAGTAACAGTCACGAAGGATAGGTTTTAGACTTTTAAAACATTGTAAAAAATAATTAATTGCGGTTAAAAATCTGAAACCTGAGCTGTAATATCTACTTAATTATAAAATATCAAAACACAATGAAAGTGTACGTCAAACACATTTGGTTTTATTAAATATGACGGGGTAACTCCATCGTGAGATTCACCCATTTCTTTCAAATATTAAAATGAAACTCGGTTAATATAATAAAAACAAAATGATTTCATTTTAGTATTTAAAACAAATCCGTTTTGTGGAAAATAACATAATATTGAGGAAAATATATAAAAACACCCTGTATATAAAATGTTGTTGTTTTGACACAAGCATAAAATGCCAAATGACTTTAGTGGAGTAGGTTTTCTGAGTGTCATTGTTCTTAAATGGTATTAGTTGTTGTCCATTTCAAATAATTTTTGTCAATTAAATTTCCTGTTGAAGCATGGGAAAGGCCTTTACAGAAGTCCACTGAATAATATTTTTTATTATAAGTACCTCTCTAAAACATAGACATGTTTCTGTGTCTATTGGCAATCAAATGTCACATCTTATGTGCTAATAAAAATGTTGATATCATAAACTGAGAGTTTAAAACAAGGCATACATTCTAATAAATATTTTACCAGCAAAAATAATTGCAGATTCGCATGATGTAATAATACTTAATATAAAAAAACGTTTAGGTTGGTCCTCATTTACTAAATAATATGGTAGCTGGAAAACACTGACTGATTTTCTAAGACTGCAAGATTTCCTACGAGTAATTTCAATTATTGTTCGTAAGTTGGCTTTGAGCACCCTAAAATTACTTTTTCTACCAAAAATTTTAACAAATTTGGTAAATATTTTTTTAATACTTTTTAACTGAAAATACGTTATATTTAAATAGCAAAATTTTACAAAAGTATTAAAAAATATATTATCTATAAAAAATGCAAAATTAACACCTTCACTAATATGCTTATTTTTTCCGCACTAACAAAATCAGTATTTTTAAACCTACAGGATGACTCATTAAAGGTGTCATCGAATATATTTCCATGATATTTTGTTGTTATTTTAAATTTAATGTCAAATATATCATACAGAATACATTATAAATACATAGGAAAATAACACAATTTAAATTTTTATTTATCTATAACTATCACATGTTAATTTATTACACAAAACATTCGGCTTGTTTGTCACAAAAATCAGGCTTATTTAAAAATTAATTTCACCAAGGCACCATCTGTTTTATTTCACCAAACCATATAGCATCTGAGAAGGTTGTCTTAGCAGTATGACGTCACAGGCAACACTCAGCTGTTCTTCTTTGATTATTATCTGTGTGTTTGTTCTTAAGTTCTGTACATTTTTGACAGTTTTTGTTTTCACGGTTTAAAGGTTTAAAAATAACAATTTATTCAGATACATTTATGTTTTAAGAATAATAAAACTACAATTTTTGTTAAAAAATGAAAGAAAAAGTAAAAAAAAATAAAATGAGAAAAAATTCCAATTTTGAAACAAAAATCACAAAATTAAGGTAGTATCTCAATTTGAAGAGTTTTTATAAATAAATAATAGTAAGTCGTGACAGCAAATTAGTTTAAATAAAACATTTTATTTTAATTAACAATTTATTACTTTATAGCAAATATTTTGTTATTTGTTAATTATTAAAGTATCATTAAAAACTTTTTAAAAACTAAAAAAAAACATAAAAAGTAAATAAGTAACAATATAAATTGTTAGTTTGTTATAATGGCAAAGTTTAAGGTTTAAAACTCGAAATTTGAAATTAAAACTTTAAAAAGTGCTAAAAAACTGTTTTTCTACAGATTTTCCAGGGCTTATTTTAAAAATTTCCAAACTTGTTAAAAAAATAGGATCATATTGATAGCTTAAAAATTGATTATTATAGTTTATTTTTTTATGGAAATCTCATAAGCAAGCTTGTCAAATTTAAAATTGTTTGGGAATGTCTCACAAAATCATATACATACCTTATTAATTTTAAAGACATTCTATGAAAACTCTTAAAAATCTACCTTAAAAACAATGAATCCAACAAAATAAGTCCAAATTTTGTAAAAAGAATTCAAGAAATAGTAAAAAACAAAAGAAAAAATTCAAGTTTTAGGAAAGATATACAATAAATTCAAAAAATAATTTTTTTGTAAAAAAATTACAAAAACAAGAAGAAAATAAAAAACAATCCCTATACCCAATTTTTGTGTAAAAAAACTAGTGAAAAGTCACAAAAAAAACAGATTTTGTAAAAAAAAATTAATAAAAAGTATAAAAACCGAAACTAAAAATTATAATTTTAGCTGCTTGAAAGAAAAACAAAAATCCCTATTATACAATTAGTATACAATTTTTTTGTTATTTTCCACAGATTTCCCATAGCTGGTTTTAAAAAGTATTTTTTTGGAATTTGTGCTGTAAAAAAATCTAAAATTATTTGTGAATGTGTCTAATGCCTCACAAAATTATATACCTACCTAAATAAATTTTAAAGACATTCTATGGAAACTCTTCAAATACTTAAAAAACAATTAATCCAATAAAAAATCAAAATTTTGTAAAAAGAATTCAAGACAATAAAAGTAAAAAAAAACAAGGGAAAAACTACCAGTTTTAGAAAGAAATTACAAGAAAAAGATATAATCGGCAAAAACTAAATTTTTGTAAAAAAATCACAGAAACAAAAAGAAATAAAAAACAATCCCTTTATATGATATATAAAAAATCACAAAAAAACAGATTTTGTAAAAAAATTCAATAAAAAAAAACTCAAAACCAAAAATTATAGGGTAAGGCTAAATGTAACAAAAACTGTTAGAAATATGCAGACTCTTATCTTTGTTCAAGTATTGGAGAGATATTTCTGTTTTTGTAGAGCTTTCACGGAACGGCCGCCTTGGGGCAGTTGATCAGCTCTGAGGAGGAGGAGGAGGACTTGACCTTGTCCCCCGACGAGGGGGGGCTGAGTCCCCCCACGCCCAGCCCTTGCGAGCAAAGCCCCGTGCGCAACAGCTGGAAACATGCGCTCCTCTCCAGAAACAACTATCACTGAAAACACAGGTATAGTAGGTATCAATTGAGCGTCTAAATTTGGTAACAAGGTTGCGACGAGTGGCCAAACGTATCTACAAAGATTTGTGTACAGTAAAGACCTTGTTGTCAACTTTTATAAGTGGGGAATTTTATCGCAAATGTCAAAAAATCTTTATAGTTTTTTGGTGAAATTCCGATCACGTTGTTTGTTACCCTACATAGGCAAATTGTGACATAACCGTGGTATATCTAATTGTTATTTTTTATTTTCATAACGACATTTTTCGTATGTATGTAGGTAATGTATCTTACAATAATGCATATTGCAATTATTCAGTGATATTTTTTGTAGAATTACTTTTTATAATTTTAGCGAAAATGCGGGATGTTTTTGTTAATATTATTAGCTTTTGCAAGCTCAAAAACAAGGCCAAATATTTTAAAACAAATCAAGAAGTAACTGCCTTTAATGCAACATATTTTTTCTTCTTTATTTCGACGCGTATTTACTGTGATATCGTTTAATATTAAATTAATCTGTCCATGTGTAATTAATATTAACATTACCTACCTACCCAACTGCAACTGTGAGCATATCACCGTAATTATTTTTTTAGTGTAATTATTTTAAACAACTGTTAAATTATTATTTTTAATTGGCAATTAGCGGTTCTCAAGCCTGAAGCGTGTTTAAAGAATAATTGATTTAATAAAAATTTAGGGGTAAGAATAACCAACCAAAACTTGTGATTTATTAAATGAGATTATTTGCTTTAAATTTTAAGTGCTTGTTATTTAATATGCATTCATTATTATTATTATTGTGAAAATAGTTGACAGTTATTTATATTTGAATCTTCATCTTTTATAATGCTTGTGTTATCGAAAATTATTGCTTTATTATAAATAAAATTATGTATACAATTCCGGTATTTTTATTTTTTTAAATATTACATTCTTAACGCGCCGTCCAATCTGATCGTTTCACCGTTTAACATTGGATTTTCTATGGCACTTTGAACAAATTGGGCAAACTCGCAAGGATCTCCAAGTCTGTGAGGAAAGGGAACGATTTTTCCCACAACATTGAGCATTGCTTCTGGCACGGTTTGTAGCATTGGTGTCCCAAAAGCACCTTAAACATAAACAATTAACAAAATATTCAACGGTCCATGCATAAATTACACTGGTTTAAAAATGTACTATTTTTTTTCTAATGTATTTTGCCCTGCTAAACTCAAAAATCACATTACATTACAAGTTTGGACAAAAACAAGAATGCAACATTACCTTTTTTCCAAGAACAAACAAAAATGTTTAAAATATGAACGAAAATAAGGTATTTAGGGTGTTTCATTTAAAACGACTATTTTATTTATATATTGTTCAAAACATCAAAAAAAAAAATTCCCTCAAAGTTTCTTTTTTATTTTGAATTTTTCCCATTTAAAAAGTATGTATTTTAACGCTTTTAAAAGAGCCTATAAGAATTTTTCTTTAACTCGTTTCACTTGGTATGGTATCAGCTTTGAAAAGTCATTTTTTACTTTTTTCACAAATTTTTAAAAATATTAAGAGAATGGCTTGTCTTACCAAAAAGTTTTCAAGAAAAACACAGTTTACAAGATATATATTAATAGTCGTGGAATCGAATTTAATCTAAAAAACACAATTTTTTTTAAATTTTTAAATGTTAAACTGCTCATATATTGTAAACTGTGCACTTTGGCGATATAAAGGTAATAACCTTTTTTGTAGGGAATTACATTTTCTCGAGCATTTTCTACAATTTTTCCCTTTACAATTTTCAAAAATATGTGAAGAAAGTAAAAAATTTAAAAAAAAAAGTGATTAAAAGTACATGGTTTTTAAATAAAAAAAAATTATAATAATAAAGGATCCTTCGAAGTACTTATAATCAAAATTAAGGGCTCAAATTTTGAGGAATTTTTTTTCGAAATTTTAAAAAATATTTTGGAGTTTAGTTGAAAAACAAAAAATAGTCGTCTTAAATAGAAAATAAAAGTAAACGTTAAATATACTATCAATTACAAAATAATGAATTAAATTGCAAAAAAATAGAAACTTACTGAATTAAAAAAAAGAAATAATTATTATATTCATCATAATAATATTATATGATTATCAGCGTCGGAAATTCACTTTTTTGTCGATATCAGTCCCAGGAAGCAAAAACCACTTTTTAGTTAAAATAACATGTATTTCACGTCCCAAACAAGTCATATGTCCGCCCTAAATAACATCACAAATACGACATCCTAAAATAACGTTATTTTGATGTGAAAGTTGCGTTATTTTTAGGATGTCATAAAATAACGTTATTTCAATATCCAAATCACGTTATTTTAGGATGTCATATTTGTGATGTTATTTAGGGCGGACATATGACTTGTTTGGGATGTGAAATACATGTTATTTTAACTAAAAAGTAGTTTTTGCTTCCTGGGTACGGGTATTATCCGTAAAAATTTGTAAATTTTCAGAAAAATTGACTTTCTTTTTTTGCATTACCTTTTGAATAAAATGAAAAAAATGCATTTCTCAATTTTTATTGTATTTTTTCTGATTTTTTACAATAAAAATAAACGAAATCTATTGGCAACAACATCACACTGAAATTCAAAATTTGAACCAAAAAAACTTTAGTAAGTAATAAATAAACAACAAAAAACTATTTCCTCAAAATGACTTGTAAATTAATTGCATGTAACTGCAATATACGCTACTAATAAGGTAAAAGTCCATTAATAAACAAACAGTTCAATTCTGCTACTTGTACATAAACTGTCGATATTTATCCATAGATTTCTTTCAAAAATACTTTATTTTCTTCATAAAAATGCAAAGTACCTATGTAGCTCTTATTTTAATGATTTTTTTTTAAAAGTCAAGCTCACTTACTAAGTGGCACTTAGACTATACTCAACTGATTGTTCATATTAATAGTAATATTGGTTGGCAATCATGTTTAATTTTATACCTTTTGAAATCAGATTGGCCGTTTTTAACTCAGGATATGACCCAAATTATAAAGCTAGGGAATAATTTAATAAAATAAATATTCTTTTTCTATGGGAATAAATGGAAAATACATTTTTATACTGTTTTAAAAGTTGGGACATATTTTGCGCATTTTATTTACATAGTGCAAGAGTTACACAAAGCACTTAAAACATGATGTTTGTGAAAGTTGCTAAAAATGAATCCAAATCGGCAATTACTTGTTAAATAGCTAATGAACTGATAATCTGGTGGAAAAATATTAAATATATTAATGATGGAAGTTAATTTACCAGGTGCAATTGTCACAACTCTGATTCCCTGACTGGCCAAGTCCCTGGCTAGGGGTAGGGTCATCCCAACAAGAGCAGCTTTACTGGCAGCATAAGCTGCCAGTCCTTTTTGACCATCATAGGCCATAATACTGGCGGTATTCACCACCACTCCTCTACAACCATTTTTATCACCTTCATTTTTCCCTATCAATCCTACTGATAGTCTTATCACATTGAACGTGCCTATAGTATTTATCTGAAAAGTTTAGATAAATTGAGGGATATATTTTAATATGACAAATATTACAGTTAAAACTTTGGTAAAATCTTCCAGGGAATGAGGAGCATCTTTTTTGAAATTGTAAGTTTTACCTGAAGTACCTATACCGGCACAGTTCACTACATTATTAAGTTGGCCGAATTTATCTTTGCATAATTTTAAAGCTTCTTGTACATCAGTTTCAATTGTAACCTTAAAGAGTTATTAAATGTTACAAATTGTTTATTACACGCATTTATTTGCTTACATTTACTGGGGCAAATATAACTTTGTCCTCTCCTATTTCTTTAGCAACCTCTGATCCTTTGGAAGTTTTTAAATCGCATAAAACCACTCTTGAACCTTGTTGAACCAATCTTTCCACAGTGGCTTTCCCTAACCCGGAAGCACCACCTGTCACCAAACTTACAGCACCCTAAAATTAGTATTGAAATTATAGCGAAATAAATAAAATTGTGTGATTTACCTTAATCATGTTGTTTGAGTAACTACAGTTATTTTTATAATGGATAAAAGTTATCAAATATAAAAATATTTACATAGATACTTAAACTTTATGCTTTATAATTATGTAGGTACCTATCTATACATTTATAAGTAAATAATAAATAAATTCAATTTCAAGGTCGGATAAATTATCTAAATTCTAATTTGAATTATCATATAAAGGCAGGCGCGGATCCAGGATTTTGTGTAGGGGCAATTTTTTCTAAACAATTTTGTTTGTTATCCAAGTAATACTTGAATTTAAATAATTTTCTGTGTGTCTGTCTAAAAAAATATGAAATAAAAACAGGTATAAAGGTAAGGTATTATTTACGTAAGGTATTTTTCTGATAATTTGGACCCCCGCTCCCCATTGGTAAGATTTGGTGAGATGTGGTAGACCTCTCCCCCTATCCCTCATATAAGATTCTAGCCATGAAACTTTCTTTGAGAACAACATAAAAAACCCCAAAAAAGTAAAATGAATTAATTTTTTTTAATGAAATTGAATTATATTATATATACTTTAAACTCAAAATTTGACGTTAGATTTTACATGAAAAAAATTTTACCATAAAAGGTTCAAACCAAAGATAATAATGGGGGGTAACAGGGGGCCATTATCTTTGGTTCAACCTCCGAAACTAATGTAGGCAACCCAGTTTACACGATTTATTTAAATATTGTTCGTATTGACAGAAAGTTTTATTTGTCCACTGTATTAAGTGATGGGTTGCCTCATAATATTCCACAAATATTGTATTGAAAACTCAATTGGCATTTAATAAATACTATTAGAAAAAATAGAACCCTATAAATAAAAAAAATAATAAGTGTATCAACAGTGATTGGCTTATATTTTATAAATTAATTAGAGAATGCAAAGCTTTTTTGTTTGCTAAAATATTTTTACACCCATTTAAAAATGAATAGTCAAATTTTAATTTTTGTATAAATTTAAAAAAAATATTATTTCGTTCATTTCAGGGACGGATCCACGGGAATGAAATATACAATGAATAAATATTCGTAGTGCCTGTGCATTTTTTATTTTGTCTCTCCCAAATCTTTCTTTGGATCCGCCTCTGGTTCATTTAAAATCTTTATTTAATTTACCTAAAAAAAGGTGATACCTACTGATAAAGTTAAACCAGAGAGCACTCTCTGTCTCTGGTTAAATCAGAGATAGCCTTGTTCCTAGACAAAACCTTTCTAGGACCTTGTTACACATAGATATTTATACTATTCAACCTCCGAAACTAGGACTAATGTAGGCAACCCAGTTTACACGATCTTTTTAGATATTGTTGCCAAGTTATCTGTCTGTCTACTGGGTTGCCCCATAATATTCCACAAATTTTGCATGAAAATGCAATTGGTATTTAATAAATACTATTGGAAAACTTTTGTCCGTATAAATAAAAAAATAATTATTTATAAACGATGGATCATATTTGTATAAAAATTAAATGCAGTAAAATCATACAAAAATCTGAAATGTTGCATTGTTGCCATTTTTAACAAAAAAAATTACTTAATTATAGTATATTATGTATGAAGTTTGATAAACGCCATTTTATACAGAAATTTAATTTAGGCACGAGCGAACTTGCGAGCGAGTGCTTAAACTAATGAGTGTATAGAAAAGTTTATAAACGAGGTGCATAATATACTTTTTCTACGACAAATACTTATTATCTTAAAATGATTTTTAAAAATCAAAAATCAAAAATTTGTATAGAGCGCCATCTATGAAACAATAGGGGAATCTGTGTGTCACCGTCAAATGTTTATATTTTATAAACACAATTATTAAGGTTATAAATCGAAATGTATTTCTTGAAAATTGACAGTTTTTCACAGTGAAAGTAAATGTTTTATGAGCACTTTACAGTGGAGTCCGTGCCCGAATTTAAGTTATAGTTTACTACCGGCGAAATTAAAAGGTCAATGCAATGTTCATATAAACTTTTCAAATATTGTACTTTTGTATTGAAATAATAAAATAATTTTCACATTTAGTATTATTTTACAAGAAAGGCAATTTATTTTAACGATTGTATGACATTTGACAACTGTCAACTAACTTAAAACTAACTTCAGCCCATGACTAAAAACCTGTTGCTAACTTCAGCCCGTGACTAAAGCGTCATAAAGCCACAACTTGTCAATGTGTATTTAAAATGTCACTTGTACGATAAAGGGCGTTTTAAAGGTGGGAGTAGAAAAAATAAATAAAACACAGATTGTTATATAGTTTATACATAAAACAAATTTAATACATTACAAATGATTTTTACATAGTATTTTATAAATAGCTACAATACAATATGTAGTTAGCGTTTGCAAAACTTATCTAGTGACTAGAATACTGATAAAATTTAAGTCTTTTTAAGTTCTTTCATTTTAAAACTAATGCAGAGTGAGGCAAAGCATTGCAGTTATTAAAATTACATTAGCATATAGTTATATGTTATATGTCGGACTTTTACTACTGTGAAAAGTAAAAATGTGACATTTTTGCCTGATGTGATAAATACTTATAAATTTAGATTAAATACTGTTACACATTGGTCAAAATATTAAGTACATAGTTATAAATATTCGTAAAAAACACTGAGGTATAAAATATTACAAATAGGTACAAAACCGGTCTAATTGAGTATTGCTTCAATAATAACCGAGGAGCTATTTCATTTTGCAAGATGTATGCACTAATAAGTACCTACTAATAAACTGATACAGTTAAAATGTATGAATAGCAAAAGCAAGACAATCTGCATAAAATAATTGATTAAAACTAACGCAACAATGGCAAATACAGTTGATTAAGTTTGGGACACAAATCTAGACACTTTGTGAATGAAAAACAGAAACTATTTTCTCTCTGAATTTACTCATTAAAATATCAAAAAGTTTTGATTAAATTGATTTCAGAAAATACGTATCACAATAATTCTAATAAACATCCAATATGGACTTGTATAGATAATATAAAAAAGTGTAGATCAGTGTCGATTATAAAAGTGTTGAACACTAAAAAAAACTGAATAAGGTACATCAAAATTTGTGCTGTTTTTAAACAACTAAAAGCTATAAAAATCACAATTATAAAATCAATACTTTAAGAATTACTAAATAATAATTTTGAAACTATAATACAATTTACATAGGTTATGTACAACAAACTAAACTAAACAAAAGCTCAACGCATAAATATACACGTAACAACAAGTAATAAAAAAATAAAATTGTATTACCAACGTATGGCGGCGCGAAAACTAATTTGAACTGCTTTCAGACTTCAAATTCTTACAACGCTCTTTTTCCTGGTTATTTTCCGGAGGCTCGCACTCGAAACTGGCGAGAGCCAAAGCGTTCTCGTTCAAGATGGGGCCGTTTTGCAGAACGGAAATGATTTTCGGATCTTTTTCGAACGGACACGTCACCTCCTTCCACGCCATGAACTCCGTAACCTGTTTCGCCAGCTGCCAGAACTTCTCGAAGTTTATGTGGCCGTTCGGCAACCTGAAATCGAGATTAAAGTCATGTTGGTTGCATACTATACGCTAAAGACCTCCAGGTACAAAAGTACAGTGGCCGACACGGAATTTTGAACGGCTTTCGTCCAGTTAATATTAAAATCTTAACTTCCTGTATGGCCAACTAACCTTACTTCCGGTTATCACTACTCTTGTCGTTTTGACAGCGAAAAGCAAAAATGGGCATTATTGTTTCTTTGCTATTTACAAATTTATACATAGACAACCAAATTATAGCGTTCAAAATTCTGTGTCCGCCACTGTACATCCATCTTCAGAATATTTGGTAAAATATTCTTAAAAAAATAATTTAATGAATTAAAAATGTTATTAAATCTTAAAAGGACGCTGTCAAAAGTCAAAATAATTTATATATATGGTTAAAAACTCGGCTATTTAATGATTTGTGTCAAAAAATATAGAAGTCTATATTTTTTCTAGCGTGTTCTGTGAATCCCACATATTTAAACTATTGTAATTTTAAATTATAAGTTATATCATTGATTAAGAAACTCGACGCATATATGTTTTAATAGTTACGTTAGTTTGTGTATTTTATCTAAGTGATCATAGTAAATTATTATGTTTTTAATTGTAAGTAAAATTCAAGAACTAAATCGTTGTATTTTCATGTTCTCTAAAGAAATCTAACAAAAAATAATTGCTGCAGAAACATAACCTTAAAATCGAATATTTTTATATTTAAGTCCTCTAAAAAAACGCCGACAACCGCATTTTAAACGACAAAATGTACCTACGAATTCTTGCAACATAATATATATGAGGCCATTATTTGCAAAACTCTCTGTTTGCCATTTGGTTTACTTTTCAGGAGTAATACAAAACTTTTTAGCTCAAACACAAATTATTTTTTCGGTTTAATTTTTTTTCTTTCAATATATTAATAGGGATGACTAATAAATATATGTGATCTAGACTACGAAAAGGTACCTATGGTTAGAAATCAAGTTTTCGAGAAAACAGCTGTTAAAGATAACAAGTCGTGTGCGTGCGTCGCGTTTGTATTTGCGCTTCTATCTCTTCTTTTTTCGTCTTACCCAGGGTCTTACCCTAGACTTACCCTTGACTCTTTACCTCTCTTTAGACTTCCACTATACAGTGGTGCTTTTTCAATAAATATGTTTGTACCTTATTAAATTTTTGATTTTTATAATTCATGTTGATTTCCAGCAAAAGTTTCAAACTTAGGAGTCTGCGGTTTGTTCCATTGAAAAATATGTTCAATTGTCTATAAATTTCGATCAAAAAACAAAAATTGATTCTTCCGACCATAGGTACCTACCTTTTTATAGTCCAGGTCACATATATAATAATATATATAAATAATTGTAAATATAAATCTCCTATAGTTTTTCAGAAAATAAAAATTGTTTTTTGCAAATAGAGTTTTGAAAAGAAAAAGGTAAATACAGTAAAATTTAACGTTAATTTATTAACCAACTTAAAACTTTTAAAAGATTTTTGGAACACAAACAAAAAGTAGTATGCAAACAAAAAAACTTAAATTATTTCAGTGTAGTTTACGTTTTGACACACGTCATCTTTACTTTTTTAGCAGCTTGATCTTGAAAAATTTTGTAGAAGGCTAATTCTGGTAGTTTTATCCAATCTTTGCCATACTTGCAAACCTATAATGGAAGTTTTATTCCCTTTAAGTCTAAAATGCTAAATGGATATAACATAATACCCGTTTTTGGTATTTTACTGTTGAGTGGATAATTTCTTAATCTACGCTTTTAATAATGCTAAATGCTTTTTAAATTTAGACGACTTATTTGTTTTATGATTTTTACTGAATTGAAATGTTTACAATTTTCACGTAAATTATTACTTAAATGTATCTAATAGGTACAATTTATATTTACAGGGAATTTCCACTGTTTATTGGGAAACCGGTAAAAACTCAACCCAGGATTTCCTCTCGAAAAACACCCAACAACACAACAAATCGTTCCACGGTTTTTTCCGATATTTTTAACATTTTCCGGCTTTATTCTTAAAAACACTCGTTTGTAATATACGCGTTTGACAGCTGCTTATTAAAGTAAAAGATGTGAAGTAAAAGGAAATTTTAAAATCAACCACATTAAATGTATGAATATTAATTATTTTACATCCTCTTACTTAAAAACTTAAACTTAAATGAAATTATCAACATGATTTTCGATACTTTTTTTGTTTAGGAAAGATGAAAAAACTTTAAACAAGCATAAACAAAAGTTTTTAAGTGAGAATATGTACAAATAATTAATATTGATACCTACCTACAGAGGTACACTAGAATTAATTATTTTGTGGATGGGTACTTACTTGTTGGAGCAACCTTGGTTAAGGAAGTAGAGATCCTTGACCAACAAACTAAAGAACGGAATGACAATTCTTTGTCTTTGATCGACTGCGCCTGCGCTTCGCCACATGGCCGCCTTAAGGGTGCTCCTGTAGCTGCTGAAATTGCTGCTCGGGTCCATTTGATGTTCCAAAATGGCGAATTTACCCGACTGAATCTTGTTCCACTGAAAACAATTCTGTTAGAATCCAATGTATGTTGGGAGATTTTTCCTTACGGTTTTCTTTAGTCGCGATATCGGCGACATGTTTAAACCCGCGATGATCGCCATCAGGCTGTTGAAGTTGCCGATGTTGAAGCACTCTCTTCCCACTTCGATCCAGTATTCCACCACGCGAACCCTCATCTTCTTTTTCTGATACTAAAAACAAACAATAGTATATTATGTATCAAGTTTTATAAACGAGGTGCATACTATACTTTTTCTACGACAAATACTTATTATTATCTTAAAATGATTTAAATCAAAAATTTGTATAGAGCGCCATCTATGAAACAACAGGGGAAACTGTCAAATGTCACATTTTTACATTTTATAAACAGAATTATAAAGGTTATAAATCGAAATTTATCTTGAAAATTGACAGTTTTTCACAGTGAAAGTAAAGAAAATGTTTTATGAGGACTTTACAGTGGAGTCCGTGCCCGAATTTAAGTTATAGTTTACTGCCGGCGAAATTAAAAGGTCAGTATAATGTTCATATAAACTTTTCAAATATTGGCGTTGAGAAACTACACTCACAGGCAAAATAATCGATCCACACAAATTTTCGATGAATTTCAATCGCAAATAACTTTTTTTTTTATGTCGGATTTAAACGAGTATTAAAGAATATTGTAGATAAATTAATGGACAATCGCGCACATTTTAAAAAATTACTAAAAAATAGACGTACGTTTATAATATACAGGTTTAAACAAAAATATGTTTTTTACCATAAGTTTAAGACACTCTTTAGAGTGACAAAACCGTATATTGTTCTAAATTAAGTTTTATTTATCAAGTCACATCTATTCTTAACAGTTTTGTTTTTGGTTCACCTCGATATATTTATTTTTGTGGAAAATATGGATTTTTTTAAAAAACATTGCAATTTTCAATATTTTTTTGTATGAAGAACTAAGGTTGCTATGGTCCATCCATAGCCTATGGAGGATGACAGTGAAAGTTTTGTTGAATCATCTCATACTTGGACATGTCATACACGGCTTTCAAAAGCTATCAAATTGTTTTTTGCAAATTAATGTTTAAATTTTAAAGTGTCTTCTTACTTTATAAAATGGATGTCTCCGACTGATGTTGCCAGAGCCATTAATTTAATCCAGGATGGACGGTCACAGTATTACGTGGCAAGTGTTTTAAACGTCACAAGAAGTAAAGCAAAGGGCAACATCAGTCGGAGACATTTTAAAAAGTAAGACACCTCAAAATTAACACATTAATTTACAAAAAACAATTTGATACCTTTTGAAAGCTGTATATGACATGTCCAAGTATCATCCCATATATGGGATGATTCAACAAAACTGTCACTGTCATTCTCCATAGGCTATGGATGGACCATAGCAACCTTAGTTCTTCATACAGAAAAATATTTTAAATTGCAATGTTTTTTTAAAAAATCCATACTTTCCACAAAAATAAATATATCGAGGTGAACCAAAAACAAAACTGTTAATAATAGATGTGACTTGATAAATAAAACTTAATTTAGAACAATATACGGTTTTGTCACTCTACAGAGTGTCTTAAACTTATGGTAAAAAACATATTTTTGTTTAAACCTGTATATTATAAACGTACGTCTATTTTTTAGTAATTTTTTAAAATGTGCGCGATTGTCCATTAATTTATCTACAATATTCTTTAATATTTGTTTAAATCCGAAATCAAATAAAAAAGTTATTTGCGATTGAAATTTGTGTGGATCGATTATTTTGCCTGTGAGTGTATTTAATACTTTTGTATTTTGTATTGAGATAACAAAAAACATTTCCCATTTAGAATTATTTTACAAGAAAGGCACTTTATTTTAACGATTTTATGACAACTGTCAACTAACTGAAAATTAACTTCAGCCCGTGACTAAAAACCGGTTGCTAACTAAAGCGCCCAAAAGCCACAACTTGTCAATGTGTATTTAAAAGGTCACTTAGTGTCATGGAAACATGTACGATAAAGGGCGTTTTAAAGGTGGGAGTAGAAAAAATTATTTTCAAGATAAAGTTAGAAAAAATGCTTGAATATAGTATTTAATTTTGTAATTAATAATTAAGTCAGTCTAATTAATAGTTCAAAAAGTTTTTAGCACAAAATAATAATAAATCATCGTGATTGGTATCATAGAACAAACTTAAATAATTAATAACGCAACTCGTTAAACAAGTATTTACTTACCTTACAAACTTGGGTTGCTACAAAATAGCTCAGTCTATTAAACCATTGAACGTACTGCTCCAAATTATGAGTTTTCTTCATATCTTTGAACGAAGTTTCCAAATGGGGATTCTCCTTTGCAAAAGCTTGCACAAACTCTTCTGGACCTACACAGAATAACATATAATAATATAGTAAATCAACAAACTTTTTTTTCTTTCTTAAACTTACCGATGAACGAAAGTCTCTCAAGCTCGACGTGGGTGAGTTGCTGCGCCAAAACGGCGGGATTCGGGCAGACATCGGAGATGTCCGTGGAATTTTCGTCGGCCTGGCTGGCCAGATTCTCGATCATCTTTTCGTAAGCTTCGAGAGCGTTCAGCCGCTGAAGCAGGTTGTGCAACATGGACGACACGTTCTGCCTTAAGCTGGAGTTTACTGCGCAGCACTGCTGCGTGATGGTGCGTATGTGCTGCATCACTCTTTCATCCCTATAAACAATGTCAATAAATTATTTTTTTTCACTCCCCAAGAAAAATATAATGTACATATCAAGAGTAAAATTCTCTTCAAGTTTTAGTCCTTAATTTTACTCCCAAGTACTTTTATTTTGATTTGATTAGATGCTCTGTCAAAGTATAATTTTACAACAATTTAAATAGTCCACATTTAGTAAATTTTACAGAAGAGTATAACAACGAAAATGGGATGCATTTAATCATTGCACACCATGCCTATTAAAAACTATGAAGAAGTCAGATAAGACACAGTGATTTAAAAAGAGGTGTCTGATAACCCTGTAGCCGACGTATCTCAAGTCATTGTTAATAAAAAAAATTGCAATTTAAAGCAAAACGGTTAAAGTTACAGGTAAAAAGTAGGTAAGATTTTTATAGGAAATTCACTTTCCTAAAAAACTTATACAGGGTGTCCCAGAACTCGCGCCACATAGAAAACCGGAACGTGCCGAAAGTAACGTGAAACACATATTTGAAAATTAAAATTGTCTAACGCAAAGGATAAGCGAGATAAGAATAAAAAACGATAGCCAATCCCAATAGATGGCCATAGGGAATTCTTTAAATTGCTAGGATACTTAGGTTGCATTGTTGATAATAAAAAATATGTAAAATATTTGGTCCACTGGAATCCAATTCATTGTGACACTGCTGTCAAACTCCTGTCATTAATATTATATTAGGTTATAAATTAAGTTATTATAAATAAATGTTTTCCTTAGATGATTATACTGAAATGATAATTATTTATTTATTTAGTGTGGGCGCAACGCCAGGGAGACAACGCGAGTTTTTTCCCAGCCCTTTACTAATCGTTATTTTAAAACATTGGCGTTCTGAAGTAAGTAAGTCATAGATTAATAACCTCATTTTTGAAAGCTTTTGACAACTTAGTAAATACAGTTGGCCAAAAGATTTTTAAATGTTTTTAATACAACAATGTTCTATCGTCTCCTAGCAATTTTTAAAGCTCTTACGTTTAACCTAGGCGAGAGCTCTCGGTATTGGCTGCCGCTTTTTTGCTCTCATTCGATTACACTATTACCTAGAAATTTTTTATTTTTAAATTTGGCATCTCCATTGCTATCGGCACGCCCCCTTTTTTTCTGTGGCGCGAGTTCTGGGATACCCTGTATGCATTAATTCAATAAAATGCATAGTTTAAAAGATATAGAGCATTTAATAAATTTTACTTTCAAATATTGATCAACTAATTAGTTATATGTTGTTTTATGACAAAAAAGGTTTAAGTAACAGGTAAAAAGAAACAATTTTTTATAGAAAATTCAATTTCTTACAAAAAAGGTCCTATACATTAATTCAATAAAATGCATAATTTAAAAGATATAGAGCATTTAATAAATTGTACTGTCAAATATTGATGAATTAATTAGTCCTATGTTGTTTTAGCAAAACGGTTAAACTATCAGGTGAAAAATAAAACAATTGTTTATAGAAAATTCAATTTCTTACAGAAAAGGTCATATACATGAATGCAATAAAATGCATAATTTAAAAGATATATAAATTTATAAAGCATTTAATAAATTGTACTGTCAAATATTGATGAATTAATTAATTAATTTGTTCTATGTTGTTTTACGACACAAGGGTTACAAGGTACAGATAAAAAGTATGAAATACTTTTATAGAAAATTTAATTTCCTACAAAAATAGTTATATGCATTAATGTAATAAAATGTATAGTTTAAAAAATATAGAGCATTTAATAAAGTTTACTGTCAACTATTAACAAATTAATTTGTTTTATTAATACCTATTTGACAGTTAAATTTATTAAATGCTCTAGATCTTTTAAACTATGCATTTTTTTGGATTAATGAAGGAAATCTTTTTTATAGGAAATTATATTTTCTATAAAAATATTTTATACTGTTTACCTGCAATTTTAACCCTTTTTGCCGTAAAATGCAAAAATACTGTTTTTTTTATTAAAAAATCACTTTGCTGACGTGTACAGGTCGAAATATATAACCTGTATTAAAATTGTTGCAAGTTCTTTAGAAGAGCATCTAATTATGTACAAATCACACCTATGTAAATTGAATTAGCGTAAAATACCGCCCAGCTAAGGAAAATAAAAAAAAATTTCATTAATTTCCCTTGTTATTTTAATGAAAAAATTTTAACATGAAAATAAAAATACTTGATATGTGAACAAAATATCTTAAATTAATAATACACTGAGAAAAAAATGGGACAAATAAACTGTGTAGCTAATACTTTTATTAATAATGAATATATTGTTTATTACCTCTAAATAGTCGAAATAATAACGATAAATATACTTTAGTAAAACTTTATGTGTCGGGAATAAAAATATATTTAGGATAAATAAACTGTACGTACCCTTGTCCCATATTTAAATATTTTTTTTATTTGGGAGCAATAAACTTTTTTCTCAGTGTAGTATATTATGTATCAAGTTTGATAAACGCCATTTTATACACGAATTTAATTTAAATTAATGAGTATATAGAAAAGTTTATAAACGAGGTGCATACTATACTTTTTCTACGACAAATACTTATTATTATCTTAAAATGATTTAAATCAAAAATCTATGAAACAATAGGGAAATCTGTTTGTCACCGTCAAATCTGACATTTTATTTTATAAACACAGATTATAAAGGTTATAAATCGAAATGTAATTCTTGAAAATTGACAGTTTTTCACAGTGAAAGTAAAGAAAATGTTTTATGAGGACTTTACAGTAGAGTCCGTGCCCGAATTTAAGTTATAGTTTACTGCCGGTGAAATTAAAAGGTACAATGTTCATATAAACTTTTCAAAAATTGGCGTTGAGAAACTATTTAATACTTTTGTATTTTTGTATTGAGATAATAAAATAATTTTCACATTTAGTATTATTTTACAAGAAAGGCACTTTATTTTAACGATTGTATGACATTTGACAACTGTCAACTAACTTAAAACTAACTTCAGCCCGTGACTAAAAACTTGTTGCAAACTTCAGCCCTGGACTAAGGTGATGCACAACTTAATATAAAATTATTAAAATTCAACTAAAATAATCTGTAATTTTAAAGTTTAAACTTAATAAAATGAAAAATGTGTAATTTTTCTTGAAAATATCTAAATAAAACACAAAAAGGCATTCGCTCACCTAAAATCGTAGGGGAATATTTCCGTCCACTCGGCCAGCAACTGCACCAAATATTCGGCGAACCGGACCTGTCCGGTGTGTTGCACGCCGCCCAGGGACGTACCCAGCCCTTGCTGCGAATCGCTTAGGGCGCGAATTTTGGCCAGAAGATCGTGCGGTTTGATAAAAAGTCTCGACGAAAGCAGGAAAGCGAACAAATAGGTTCTGTCAGGGTAATACGTATCGGTGGGCACCATGTGCTGGATCAGGGCTTCTAGCGGGCCGGACACCAAGTTACCGTCCCTGTAGACAAGTGCCTGAAAAATCGCATTAGTTTGTTGTAAGTCGCTCGCCAAAGAATCATTGTCGGACAATTTTGCTAAATCATCGTTTGCAAATGATAAACCAGTATTTATAACGGTTAATAAATTAGACATGTAATATTTAGTTTGACTTTAACTTACAATAATAAAAAATAAACAAATGCGTTAAACCTGTTCGTAAAGATAAGCTATCTTGATAATTGATACTTCAATGGTTTGTTATCTTATTTAAGTGTACACAAACAAAAAAATGTATAAATAAATGGCGCTTATTTATAAATAAAAAGGTGGCGTTTAAAATTTGAACATTTAGTAAAATATACACAGTGTAAAATAAATAAGAAATAGGGTAAAGTAGACAGTTATCGGACACTTTATAGTTATACAATTAACATTAATACTCTAAAAACAAGAGTTCTATAAATAGTTACCTTAAAGTCAAATCACTACTACTTTATTTTGGGTCCAATATAGGACAAAAAAAGTTCGAACGTTACTTTGGTGATAAGATTTTTGTTTTTTTGTTAAGAGCAGGGCTATGTTTAAATTACAATACAAAATATTTCTAAAAAGTGTACAGATCAGTGTGTGGTTTAAACATTGTTTAAACATTGTCACTTTAATGCGTTTTAATTTTAATTCTGAAAACAAACAGTAAATGGCCAGTGTCCAATTACTGGTTGGTAAAAAATGTAAATTTCTATTATTGGACATATGTCCAATATCATAATCTATTTATATCCAGGACATTTACCAGACAATTCTTATGTAAAATTGTCCCCTGAATCCGAAAAGACCGTCAAAAACTATAAAAGTTAAGCAGTTTTTGAGATATAGTCAATTCCATATTATATGTAAAATTGATTATATTTCAAAAACTGTCCTACTTTTATAACTTTTGACGACATTTTCGGATTCAGCGAATAATATTTCATATGAATTGACTGCTAAATGTCCTGGATACAAATTGCTATTGACGAGAATTATTAGTGGCTGCTTTTTCGCTATGACATTTTTGACTAATTCATTTTTTGAGAGTAAGTAATATAGTGATTTCTGCGTCACAGGACATCTTGCAGAATAACAGTGATTTAAATACAGTGCATGATAGAAAACATAAAAAACTAATGGCAACAAAATTAATAAATTCGGAAAATACTTTTAACATACCACCCGAAAAAATATTAGATATATATAAATCATCCTGTTCCGGCCTAAACATTATAAATGCTTCACAAACTAGAGATACCACTCTTAATGATATTTGCAACGAACTATTTCAGAAGTCAGACCAAGGAATTAGTAGTTACCTTCAGAATCCAGAAAAGGATGAAGAATCCGAGAAAGAAATATATGAATTATATGATATTTACAAAAACGAAATAAAAAAAATTACCTAAAACAGTTAAGTTGTTAAGTTTATATAAAAATTGAATGTCCAATACTATAGTCCATGTGTCCAATTACTATATAAAATGTCCAATTACTATACTTTTTTGCATGTTTTTATAAAACCATTATTAAAAATTCAAATATTCTTATTTTTAAGTAAACGTAAATAAAGTACAAACAAACAAACTATCCTTTTTATATATTTATAAGAAAAAACTAAAATCTTTAAAACAACGGCATATATAAATTTTAAATAAATAATATTCCTTAAGTGTCCAATAACTTTGTGGTTAACCCTATGTCAGATTATTTTTTAAATGCACTAAAAATAAATTTACTTACAACTGCTTAGATCATAAATAATAAACGTAAGTATGTAGCACATGACCGAGTTTAATTTTTATTAGTTCAGTGTTTTTGGAACGCGGTTTATTTACAAAACACAGTTTGGGACTTTGTTGACTTTATATGATAGTTCAGCATTTTAACTTAAATTAAATTACTATATTTACATATTTTTTACTTACATTGTCCTGTTGCGATGCAGGGTCACCAGAGGTCTCCTGATTCGCATCGCCATTAAAAATTTTGGCGAAATTTTTAGTTTGCGGTGTCTGCGGTAAGCTCTGTTAAAAAGTTTGTAAATTAGTTTGATTTTGACTACAATAAATAATTATAAAAGATGTCCCTGAATTGCCTGTACAAAATGATTTAGTTATACCTAAAGTTGATAATAACCAAAATACAGAATGTCAAAGTTGATTTTATTATTTAACTTATTGGACCTTAAAACTCGATTTATTATTTAATTAATCAAAACAAATAATATGAACTTTTATTTATGTAGTCTACAGATGTTGTTTGCCAATCTTTTAAGTTAATTGCGCCTTATATTTTACCAATGAAAAATGACACTCGCATTTTCCTCATTCAATTACTTTTTTGCAGACTCTCTCCAACAAAAGTTTTATATGAAATTATGAAATGTGGAAATTAAAATTAAAATCCCCTGGGAAGTAAAATGCACTTAAAATTATTAAACTTTAACTTCGAGCAGTGTAATAATTGTCAAAAATTGCCAGCGCTTGCTTTGAAGCATTTGCCTTTGAATCGAATATTCATAAAATGAATCGTACATTTTTAATATCGTTTGCCATATATGTATATATGAGTGAATGCAGAACTGAAAATGGCTCTATCCGTTGAGGTTTCCACAAAAGATCAGCAATTCAATTCAGTGCAGCTATTTAAAAATTTTCCTAATGCTTTGGAATCTTTTTATGCAAATAAATTAGTAACTGTTGAATAGAAAAAAAAAGTAAATACATTTTTGTAGGGAATTACTCTGTCGGTTGGGATTTTTTTTGCAAAAAGAAGTACATTGAAAATATCCAATTACAAAATAATGAATTAAAGTTATAATTGCAAAATTATAATTTAATAAATCAGTGTCAAATAAAACAGCCCGTAGAAAAAAAATTGAATCTTACTAAATTAAAATAACAGGAACTTCACTTTTTTCTCAATATCAGTGTACGGACAATTTTCAGAAAAATTGACTTGCATTCTTTGCATAACCTTTGGAATAAAATGAAGGAAAAAAATGCAAAAGGCAATTTTTCTGAAAATTTCCCAATTTTCCCGTTTTTTAAGTTTAAAACCCTCATTTGAAATAACAAAATTGATGTAATTTTCGGGTAAAAATTTTAGATAAATAGTCAGAATCGGAATATAAACCCTGTTAAATTTTTTTTCAAGTTCCCAATAAACTTCCAATGAACCACAAGGGTGAAACACCTTGTATAAGTTTTAATGCAAGATTAATTCCTAAATTAGTTTTATATTCCAAAAATAGGTTTTATTAAATTTTTTCTAAATTTCTAAATATTAAATAACATTAAATAATATCAGTTTCATAATACCCAAAATCATTTTATTACAAATGAGTCAATCCAAATGAAAACACCAAAACTGAATTTAAAAGTGCGCTGCATGATTTTTTATTTTAATGAAAAAATTTGAGAATGATCTTTTAGGTATCATATATGAAAAACCCGTTTTCTTACTCTCTTACAAGAAGCTAAAACTTTTTTCTGTGGCAATTATTGAAATGATTGTAATTTTATTTTACTGCCTAGTAAGTATGTTTTCAATATTAATTATTATTATCTAATTAGTTCATCTCATAAAAGAATGGTAAACCACTAAAGATTTGTAATAATTTGCCAATTTTTGTGATTTTTGTCTGGCTCCTGTGCCTATTCTGCTAAATCTAGAAAGTTGCTTTTTTCAGGTATCTTATACACAATAGAAAACGTAACTATTATTTTAAGTTTCTAGACTATCATTTTCTTTATTAAAAATACTATTGAAAGATAATTTTCAAAATTAGTCAATTTTGCCCTCAGAAATCATTATGTTGAGGAAACAATAAAAATCTGAAACTTTCAGGAAATGTAGTCCCTTCACCTTCATCTTTTCAGTCTAGTTAGTCTTGTTTTGTTATTTTTATCCATGTTAAAGATATAATAATTTTTGTAATGCAGTTAAGAAGCAATATTGTTAGTTTTATTTATAATTTAAAATTTAGATGGATTTGACTTAGTCAATTTATGTTTGGTAGAGAAATGTCAGAACTGTCAAAAATATTTCATAAATATCATAGATAACAAAGCCTAAATATTATTTGTGCGTATTTGACGGAGTGTTCGAGATTCATGAATTTAATTGCAATTAAAAATGCAAGAACATATCATAATTTTGTACCTCTTTCTCATAGAAAATATTCAAGTATGAGAAGTTTTAAATTGTTAAAAATTAGCAAGAACCAAAAAATATTCTAAATAAACCCCTTTATTATAACATGTTTTATTTTATCCAGTTAGCTAAAAACTAAAATTTAAAGAAATATTTACCGATTTTGTAAATTTTTTTCCAACACTAAAATTTAAAATACATACATAAACTTTTAACTATTCAGTGCCTTACTAAGGGGAACAAAATAATAGAACAAGACTAACTGGGTTTAAATTGTGAAAGAAACTGACAAAAAACTGCTTAACGCATTTCTTATACGTTTAAATTAACTCTTTATTAATTTCACTTATTATACTGTACGATATAAACCATAAGGATCTTGAATATATTTTTTACATTCTTCTTCTTTAAACACCAATTAGCCAATTAAATACTTCATTTTAATGTTTATAATATATAATATTTGTATATATATATATATATATGATTATACAATAAATAAAATATAACATAACTACCAAATATTCAGAACTGTCAAAAATATTTCATAATTATTATTTGTGATTTTAAAAAGTTTTGTATATACCATAATACCATAATATTATATACAAAATTTACCAAAGAAATACGCACAAATAATATTTATGAAATATTTTTGACAGTTCTGACACTTCTCCACCAAACATGAAAGCCATCTAAATTTTAAATTATAAATAAAACTAACAATATCGCTACTAAACGGGCATTAAAAAAATTAATATATCTTTTAAAGGAATGAAAATAACAAAACAAGACTAACTGGACTGAAAAGATGAAGGTGGGGACTACATTTCCTGAAAGTTTCAGATTTTTATTTTTTCCTCAACATACTGATTTCTGAGGGCAAAATTGACTAATTTTTAGAATTATCAAGTTTCAATAATTTTTTTAATAAAGAAAATGATAGTCTAAAAACTTAAAATAATAGTTACGTTTTCTATTGTATAAGTACTTGATACCTGAAAAAAAGCAACTTTCTAGATTTAGTAGAATAGGCACAGCAGCCAGACAAAAATCACAAAAATTGGCAAATTATCATGAATCTTTAGTGGTTTACCATTCTATTATGAGATTAACTAATTGGATAAAAATAATTTATATCGAAAACACACTTACTGGACAGTAAAACAAAATTAAAATCATTTCAATATTTGTCACAGAAAAAAGTTCTGGCCCACTATAAGAGAGTAAGAAATTGACACGATTTCAGATTTCTAAAGGGTACCTATAAAAGATCAACCTTAATTTTTTTTATCAAAATAAAAATCAAGCAGCGCACCCCATTTGGTGTTTTATTTGGAATGACTCATATTATATACAAGGTGTCCCGAAAATATCACACTAAAGGCTTCAGTCTAAAGCAATTTTTTTTCTATAGTTAAATAGTATAATTAAATTAATTAAATTTTGCAAAATTTACAAAAATTCGTACCTAAACAGGTAAATAAAACATGATAACATCAGATTGATTGAAAAAAACATGAGATCTCATGGAAAAGCATGAGACTTGGCAACATTGCAAAGGAATGTCATATTCACGTTGCTGTTCGCGATTCCACTACCAATAATTTTATACACAATAATAATAAATAATAATAACAAAATATACCTACACGTATTTATTTTACTAAAACCTATTATTGTAATAAACCGATAAATATTTTAAAATGTTTAAGTAAAAAATTCAATATTTACAAAACCAAAACAAACAATACTTACTCGTCTGTTGGAGCAGTCTTTAGGTGTGAGGTCTGAAGCGACGGTTCCGAAAATTGTGGGCTAAAAATAAAACGTTGCACATTAATCGCAATATTTCGGTTTTGGCAATGAAAAGGCTCATGAACAGACTGGCGCAAACAACGGAATTTTATAAATACAAAATGTTTCGTCGGTACGGTAACTCACCGTGGTTGCGTAACTTTTACTGTAGCCATTGTTGAAGGGGGTAAATTTGCGAACTTGGTCCGTAACGAAGTCGGTCTCATCCAGAGAGCTGAGCGAGTCTATGGAGCTAGGAGTGAAATCGACTTTCGTGGTGGACATGGAGTTACTCAGGTGCCCGGAGTCCTTGCTCAAACAGGTTTTCGGCGTGTAAACCGGCACGTCGGACTCGTAACTGCTCGCGCTGGAGCAAGAACCGAACTTCCCGTGGTCACTTCCGGTCTCGTAGCCGTTGTTGTCGTAGTACTTCACGTTGGTGTACTTGTCCAGCTCGGCAGTCGGTATGATCTTGATCGGTTCGAAAACCTCCGTCATGGCGCTGGTGTAGATGTTCTGCTCTTTGATCTCGTGGCTGCGCTCGTCCACCACTTTCCCGCCCCTCGAAACCGTCACCTCTTCTTTGGTGACGGTTGTGGATTTCACACTCAATGATGTGTCCAGCTTTACTGGGGCTTTTAGAATACCTAACAAGGGTCTAGAGTTTAATTTCTTGTTTTTATTTTTGGTGTCGATGTACTAACCAAAAACTTGTAAATAGGATAAAGTAGACAGCTATCGGACACTTTATAGTTATTGGACAATTAACATTAATACTGTAAAAGCAAGAGTTCTACAAATAGTTAACTTAAAGTCAAATCATTAGATGACGCTGTATACAATTATAAATATCTCAGTCGGTAATAATATAGAACTACTTTATTTTGGGTCCAATATACGACAAAAAAGTTCGCACGCTACTTTGGTGGTAAGATTTTTGTTTTTTTTGTTTAAATTACCATAAAAATATTTCTAAAAAGTGTACAGAGTGTGGTATAAATGTGTTCCTCAGGGTTTAAACAATGTCACTTTAATGCGTTTTAATTTTAATTCTGAAAACAAACAGTAAAATGGCCAGTGTCCAATTACTGGTTGGTAAAAAATATAAATTTCTGTTATTGGACATATGTCCAATATCATATTCTATCTGTATCACCGGACATTTACCAGCCAATTCTTATGTAAAATTGTCCCCTGAATCCGAAAAGACCGTCAAAAACTATAAAAGTTAAGCAGTTTGAGATATAGTCAATTCCATATTACATGTAAAATTGATAATATTTCAAAAACTGTTCTACTTTTATAACTTTTTCTGATTCAGCGAAAAAAATTTCATAGGAATTGACTGCTAAATGTCCTGGATACAAATTGCTGTTGACGATAATTATTAGTTGCTATGACATATTTGACCAATTCATTTTTAGAGAGTAAGTAATATAGTGATTTCTTCGTCACAGGACATCTTGCAGAATAACAGTGATTTAAATACAGTGCATGATAGAGAACATGAAAAAGTGATGGCAACAAAAATAATAAATTCGGAAAATACTTTTAACCTACCATCCCAACAAATATTAGATATACCTATAATATATATAAATCATCCTGTTCCGGCCTAAACATTTTAAATGTTTTACAAATTAGAGATATTTGCAACAAACTATTTCAGAAGTCAGACCAAGGAATTAGTAGTTACCTTCAGAATCCAGAAAAGGGAGGAATCCGAGAAAAAAATTTATGAATTATATGATATTTACAAAAACGAAATAAAAAAATTACCTAAAACAGCAATTTATCTTTAAAAAATATTAAACAATTCATGTTATTTGATGTAAAATTGTTATGTTTATATAAAAAATTTATGTCCAATAACTATGGTCCATGTGTCCAATTACTATATAAAATGTCCAATTACTATACTTTTTTGCATGTTTTTATAAAACTATTATTAAAAATTCAAATATTCTTATTTTTAAGTAAATGTAAATAAAGTTTAAACAAACAAACTATCCTTTTTATATATTTATAAGAAAAAAACTAAAATCTTTAAAACAACGGTAAATATAAATAAATAATATTCCTTAAGTGTCCAATAACTATATGGTTTACCCTACGTTGTTTTAACCAGGATTTCAAAACTTTTGTCAGATTTTTTCGAATATATTTTTTTAAATATATTTAAAAATAGATTATATTTACTTAAGTATTGTCTTTACAAATAATTCTAATGTTTATACAATATTTTAAGTAAATATAATCAGAGAAACATGTGAAAAATAAATATTAATAAATTTTATCGATGAAATAATAACATACATAACTATGTTATCTTAAGCCAACAGGAAAGACTTTTTATTGGAAAAACAACCTGTAAAAACATTAGTTTCCTAAAAAAACATCCATATTTCTTTTCGACTGAAAACTAACTTAAAATATGTATTTCAGATGCTGTTTCCTTTTTCAAGATTTCGCGAAACTTCGAGACGGAAAGTCGAGTGTCTCACACTTGAAAAACATTTCCAAAGATTATATTTTCTCGAGGATCACTCGGAAAATTCGTATGTTTGAGTTTTATCTAGGAAAGTTGGTAAAAAGAATAAAACGACATTTTGTTAAGAAATTTTTCTATACCTATTTCCATACCTATGTCAACTTAATTTTTATATATATTTTATATAATTTCCAGATTTTTTTTATTTTACCATTTTTAAACATTACAGGCAATATTAAATATAATTGTATGCCCGTAATGTTTAAAAATGGTAAAATAAAAAAAACATAAAATTATATAAAATATATATGTATTAGGGTGGCCAAAAAAAAAAAGAATATTTTTTTCTCTCGTCTCTTGTAAAATATGTTGGTTTGTCATGTTTTAAGAGCCCTGTCAAAAGATCAGCTCCATTAAAAAATTTTTAGGGGTCGCTCACGATTTTTAAAAATTTCCAATATCGTCAAAAATTGGATTTTTTTTTTATTTTAATTTTTTTTCTCGTTCCGATATTATTTTTTAATTTAAAAATAATAATGATTCTGAAAATTTCAAATCAATATTTTGATTTCTAAAGGTCGCTCAAGATTTTTTTAACTTTCAAAGTAGAGTATTTTAAATGTTTTTGAGCGACCTCTGAATATAAATATCAACCAACTTTTAGCGACCTTTAGAAATCAAAATATTGATTTGAAATTTACAGAATTTTTATTATTTTCAACCAAAAAAATAATATCGAGACGAGATAAAAAATTAAAATAAAACAAAAATTCAATTTTGACGATTTTGAAAATTTTAAAAAATCTTGAGCGACCCCTAAAATTTTTTTAATCGAGCTGATATTTTGACAGGGCTCTTACAGCATGATAAACTAACATATTTTTACAAGAGACGGGTAAAAAAATATTCTTTTTTTTGGGCCACCCTAATATGTATATTAGGGTGTGCCAAAAAACCTCGATATTTTTTTTTTCTTGCTCTCAACCCAAAATATCGTAGAATATGTCCGAACAAATATTCTGTTAAAAGCGGAGCTCATAATTTCAATTTTAAGAGGTCCTCCATCGAATCTGAAGTTTTGCCGCTTAAATAACACAGAAAACTGACTTTTTTACCTTATTTATTCTTGCAACCTAGGAAGAAATTTTTTTTTCATAAAAATCATGACCAAATCTTACAAAGCATTAAATTTGGATGAAAAAATCTTATTAAGCCGAATTTCTATTTTCATTATTTGATTTTTTACAGAGCTTTAAATTTAAAATTTTACGTTTTTTGCCTTTTTCAGCTAAACTATTTAAGTTAGACGAAAAAGTCAAATAGCAATTTTTTAGCTTGTCTGATGGACCACAAAAAAGTTTAAGGCGAATTTTTTGTATCGTCAATATTCTTAAAGTTACAGGCGTATAAAGTCATCATTTTTGTATTATTAACTTTAAATTTAAAGCTCTTTAAAAAATCAAATATTGAAAATAGAAATTCAGCTTAATAAGATTTTTTTGTCCAAATTTAATGCTTTGTAAGAATTAGTCATGGATTTTATGAAAAAAAAATTTCTTCCTAGGTTGCAAGAATAAATAAGGTAAAAAAGTCAGTTTTCTGTGTTATTTAAGCGGCAAAACTTCAGATTCGATGGAGGACCTCTTAAAATTGAAATTATGAGCTCCGCTTTTAATAGAATATTTGTTCGGACATATTCAACGATATTTTGGGTTGAGACCAAGAAAAAAAAAATATCGAGGTTTTTTGGCACACCCTAATGTATATATAAAAATTATGTTGAAATAGGTATAGAAATTATAAATATTAAAAATTTCCTATCAAAATCTGGTTTTATTCTTTTTATTATTTAAAAGTACAAAGAAAGCTTATTTAAAAGTCTTTCTTTGTACTCTTAAATAATATGGGCCCAAAAAGGGTATTCACAAGTTGTCAAAATGAAACCACCAAGATTTTTGGCCAGTACATTGTTTAATTTTTTTTTCCAAAATAAGCTACCTGTTTTGATTAAAAGAGTGTTCAAGAGATCGCAGGGTGGGACTTGCCCGGTGACCAGGGCCTGCTTGATTGCAAGTCCGTCCCTGCCCTCCAACGTGACCGGTATCCCGTTTATAAACAAAACCTCCTCCTCCTTTATGGAGGACTTTTTCTCGCAATCGACAACTTTGGCTCCTTTACCTAGTATCGCTTCGACTGTTTCTTGTATTTCGGGATCGTCCATGGCTAGGAGGAGAAAAAAAAGAAAATCGTAAGGCGGGAACGAGAGACAAATAAAAACAAAAACCGGTCGACGACAAAAAGACCCAGTCACGAACGCATTCTTTTGTTTTCAGACGCCAACCGCAAATAATCGAGAGTGCCTTGAAATGTGGAGAGATCAGCCTTCCTTGATTTTTGCAAAATTAAAGCGATCTTTTGTTTACCCAAAAACATATGCACATGTGTAAGTTTGCCTATATTAACCTATGTTAAAACTGTTTGCTAATATAAATTATGAAATATATATATGCTATTTCCCTAACTCTTCAAT